TTAGGCAATGGGTCAATACTTCTAATCTTGATCTCTGGGGGGTTGAATCCCAGGAGAACCTGATGCTGAAACAAGAACGGCATTCCTAGGATTACATCGTAGGATTCAAGGTTGGTGATATCGAAGGTACGCTCACAGTTGATTTCTTGATAAGATAACTCAACAGTGGTATTAGCTTTAACTACGCTCCTAGATCCCAAGATGGCCAATTGCAGGGGTATCGGTTTCTCCAAGACGGAGTATCGGAGCTTGAGCTGGTCGACGATGTGCAGGGTTTGCCGTTCACAAGCACTATAACTACTATGGAACAAGGGAGGATCCTTGAAGTGGATTTCAGTCTAGCAGCTTGTCGCTGAAGGGTTCTTAAATCCGGAAGGTCAGCACGCCTACTGCTGCTCACACAGTATAGAGAGTTAGTGTTAGTGTATTCTTCATCCTCTGATGTCTCACAATCCAACAAAGGGGGTAAATCATTGTCTGCATCCTGGGTCAAAGGTGATAGGAGTCTTTGATCACCATACTCATGTTGACTTGGCAGCGAGACGACTGCGACGTCGACGGACAGGTGGTCAGTCGATAACACGGTCATTGTCAGTGGAGAGGAGGGTGTTTCAGTCCAGGATGGTTTGAATGACGTCTTAGTGTGAATTAGGTCTTTGAAGTTCCGAAGTTTCAGATTGACTAGCCATGCAACTGCATCGAACTCTGGGTCGCATAATTGGCTAAAGTGCACTATATAGTCGTCATAATTGTAACGATCTGAGAGGAGGTAGGTGTCTGAACCGCCATGGTTAGAGAGACAGAATCTGTCTAGCACAAAAGGGTCATACAGAGGGTCAATTAGCTCATTGGTTGGCAGTGGGACAGCTAGTAGGAGAGTGGCAAGAATCTGCTGTTTGAAAATACGGTGTTTTTCTGCGTTTAGTTCAGATAATTCTTCTAACTCTACCACCATTCCATACAGTCCGGAGGTGATACCTTCTTTGATGGCAGCAGATCTAATATCAGCACTAGAGATGGTCACTGTGTTCGCTCGAATGGTGGGGGAGTTCCGTCCAGGAGGTTTGAATGTCAGACGGTGGTGTTTTGGGCAGTCTTTAGCTAAGTGTCCCGTTTGTTCGTACTCAAAACACTGGTTAAGGTCATGAAGCTGTTTTAGGTGTTCAGGGGCTTTCTTAGACCTTTCTGGATTCCCAGGGGCCCTAGGAGGGGGCGCCCCTGGGCGAGGGTGACTGCATCCTCGTGGGTCATGAGGCATTCAGTGATGGATGGCATTGGCCGAGATGGATTGAGTCCAGGGCCATTTGTCCATCCTATTACTGTACTGCGATTCTCTGCGGTCGTTTCGACCGTTACTCTGGGCATATCCTGTGGCTAAGGTCGGGTTGATGGCCAGTAGGATGTTCTGATCCTTGGCATTTTCAAGGAATGCTCTCTCGGTGTGCAAAGCTTTCTTTTCAATCATTTCAAGGCTTACCGTGTTTGGTTTATAGCCTTTATCAACTAGGGAGGCTTTTAGGTAGGGGAGACAGTTCATCTAGAACTGTCTCCACATACTACAGTGACCAAACTCCATCTTAGACAGGCCAGCCAAGGGACATAATACACCGTCTTAGATGGGTCAGCAGACCATGGGCCGAAGTCATAATATCCTCATTGAAGATGGGTGGGCCGAGAGGCATATTATTCTTGATAGAGATGAGTGGGCCCATCTAGGTAATATCTAGAGTAGAATAGTTACTCAATGGATATGGAATATGAAATGGGAACTCCAGAAGGAAATTCTGGCAGCCTCTGATTTGCTCAGTCTGAGCCTTGCAAAAAGTGTAAAGGTTGATGGGAGTTGGCGAACTAATCAGGATTGGTTCAAACCAAGCTCGGAAAATGATGGCATATCTCCTGGATGCATCAATCTATCTCCGGCTTGGTTTCAACAGGGGCATGAGGTGGGATCTCATGAGATGGTGGTTTCCGATAGTTACACTGACCAATCCGGTAGAATCTGTCGGACCCGGCAGTATCTGCCTCATTGAAGGGACCATTCTCTGAGAATATTCTCAAAGCCATTGCCAGGCTGGCAGCCATCGCATCAGCTGCACTCAGGGTGATGCATCCTGAGCAGTACTGGGCTTGGATACGAGCCCTTTTAAGCCTTGGACAATCAGCCAAAAGCAAGAATCTTCCGAGGATGTCAGAGACCCTCCAGTACTGGGCATCCGTGTTTAACACCCTCACTGTCATTTCCAATCAGCAAACCCTCAATCATCGAGACCACATATCCATTCCTGAATGCTTCAATATTCTCACCACCATTGGTAGTTATTCGAATGCTTGCATGAGTATGCCAAGTCTTCAGCTAGAGTTCATGTACAAGCCCAGCTGTATGATCGCGTTTTCAGGAAGGATTGTAAGACATGGGGTTCATGAAGTGGAAGGGGATAGAATTGCTTGGGCATGGTACATGAGGGATTCTGTTCATATTTATGCCGGGATTCCCTCATGTGGATGGGCTAGGATGGATCGCATACATACTCCATCCTGGCAAGGATAGAACAGGCACATAGCTTAGTACCCATGTGATAGCACCTACTGTCAAATACCAATTACCAATGTTCGAGTGCCAATAATCAAGCATCAAACAGACGAATGTTTGACATTTGATACCCGGAACTTGGTACTCCACTCCCGGAACTTGGTATTCAGCACTAAACACCCGGAAGCTGGTAATCGGTATACGGTGCTTGGTACTCGACACCCGGACATTGGCACCCGGAGCTCGGTATTCGGTACTCAGTACAGTGATTTGTCCAATTTACAAAATGTGTATTCCGGGTTTCAGTACTCGGCACTTGGTACTCGAGGCCTGGAACTCAGAGCTCGGTAGTCAATACCCGGCACTCGGCATTTGGCACCCGGATTGCACACCCGGAAGTCGGTAATCGGTATATGGTGTTCGGTACTCAACACCCACAACCCGGAACCTGGAGCTCGGTACTCAGTACTCAGTACTCAGTATGGTGATTTGTCCAATTTACAAAATGTGTATGCCGGGTTTCAGTACTTGGCACTCGGTACTGTTTGATGGTCGGTACTCAACACCCAGACCTCGATACCCGGACCTCAATGGTCAATACCTGGAACTCAATGGTCGATGCTCAGTACCCGGAACTTGATACACGGAACTTGATACCCGGACGTCAATACTCGGCATTCGGTATTCAGTATTCAGTGTTCAGTGTTTGGTACTTGACACCTGGACCTTAGTTATGTTAGTTCCTAACCTTGGTGCTTGATGCTCGGTTCCTGGAACATGATACCCGGAACTCGACATTGAGTCAAAGATCTGTACAACATACATCTAAGGGCATGAACATTTGATACACTAACATTTAATAGGGATCATCCCCTCTGGCTCTCTTCAACCGGGTTAGGGTGTCAGTGTACATATCAATCTCCACCATCTTATCACAGATGCCCTCCTGATGGTCCTGAATCAACGACACCAGGTGTTCCCTAATCCACTTCAGTCCCACCAGTGATGGAGCCAGGGTGCTGTCCAGCTGCTCCAGAAGGATGAAACCATTGTCCTCAACACCGCTCTAGATCGGATTAGTGATCTATCAAGGAAGTTGGGTATAATGCTTACTAGCCAATGCTGGTAGTGAAAGTGACAGGAATCTATTACCTGATCCCATTGCCATGGTTCGTTAGGGATTGTAGTGTCCCCCATCCACCATGGAGTATCATAGGAGGATACGATCTGGGAGGGTTCTCCGTGATCTCAGACCAGATGAAACTTGGATAGGTGGGATGAAAAGATGTGGTCTGGAACCGCGTTCCATGTGAGCTGAGGAAACAAGTGAAGAATATGAGTGATCGGGGGTGGCATAACCAAAATTATGTTCCTTGCAGCTGAGTACTGCAGAATCGGTGTCACAAAAGTCTGTTGGCAATCTCAGCATATTGCCAACCACAGTCATCTGTCTGATGGCTTACAGTGATCTCCCATTGGATTCCGGCTTTAAAGTAGATTATCCGAGCCGAAGGAACATTGTTCTCAGGCAGCCTCCGTCTGATATTGACTGATACAGGCTTGAACTGCCAATGCAGCCATTGCCAATGTAACTGCAATATCTGCAAGACTCATTGTGGGGGGTTTATATTCATTGCCAGAATCCTCAGTGGCAGAAGTAGATGCAGGAGGTGCAAAAGTGGATGCAGGAGGTGAATTTAAATCAGACATGGGCAATGCAGGAGTAGGACGCTAGCAATGATAATGACGGTTTTTTCAGATGGGATCCACTGATGGATTGATAAAATAATTCAAACTCCAACATGGGCTGAACCCGGCCCCTTGCCGAGACTCAATTGTTGGGATCGAATCATATATCAGCAGAACATATTCATAATTCATTCATCTCGGGCATCTATTAACATGCTCTGCAGGTCTTGAAACGCTGCCTGAGCATCCTGCGCCAGTAATGAATACATTTGGGATTGCCTTCCGGAGTAGCAAGCATGACCCGGAAGGCATTTCACCAATGATTCCCTCATCCGGTCGCCCCATTGCGTTGATTTCCACAAGAAGAAATTACACATCCAATCCATCTCCAATTCCACCAATATCAGTTCTTCCTTCCATCGATCCCTGTAGTGCCTTTGCCCGAAGCCAATGAACTCGGTAAACTTCATGCGGGTCCGGTCAGATCGCAGGCATTTGTCAAGCAAGCCGGAACTCACATTCCTCATTCCACGAGTGATCCGGACCCCCCAAATCTACTTCAATAGACCAGAACCAAGCGAGAGACTCATTTCGCTGACCTCGGGCATTAGGATCGCCGACGGCCTGTGCTGACTTTGAGCTGCTCCTGAAGCAGGGGTTTATATTTTTCCAGCTGGTCTTGGCCCAGCTCAAGTTTCATCATTTGCTTCCTTGTCTTGGTATATATGCTGGCATGGAGGGACACCACCTGCTGCACTGATGTCACCTGGGACCAAGCTCAGGTTTTCAATGCTTGAGATTTGGCTTGCCTAACTGTTGTTCGGAAGAGTATTGCCTTGTTGCACAAGTGAATTCGGAGGTTGTGAAGGGCATCATTGGCCTGTCCTTCACGAAGCGACAACTCCAGCGGAATCAGATCCTCTGCCATACAATGTTTGGATCGATCTACCCCTAGGTTTGATGGCAATGGGATGACAGTGAGCTCGGGGGAGTTTGTCCATGTATCGGACTTCCCAATGAAATCCTCCAGGTCATCATCGAGATCATCGAGAATGTCTATATTCAAATCGTCAGGGTCGTCATCTGCATCAAATCCCTCTCCCAGATGCGTCAGAGCAGTCTGAGTGAATGCATCTATCTGGCCTTGTAGACGATCGCGTTGCCGGGCAATGTCTAATCTCTGAGTCTCGGTAGTTCTTTTTCCTATTCTTCGGACCTCAATGTGCAATGCGATTTGAGCCTCTTCAATTGCCAGGCCCATTGATATCCATGTTGCCACAGATCTGCGAGAGGGTGCTGCATGACGGGCATTACCCTCCTGCAGCAGTCTAAGCTCTATCTCCTTTTTGCTCGGTGCTGGGTTCAAAATGAATTCAGACTTTCGATTCGAGACAGAGTGATCTCACCCTTCTTGATATTAATCTCATATATATCCATCGCAGCTGGATCTTGTATTCTGTTGGACTGAGCGATCCTCTCACTTGCTAACCAGTCTGTCTTTAAGTTGGCTGGTGCAGGCTTCGTCGAGTCTGTCGAAAGCCTTTCCACTTTCGGCGATGCCATTCTTCGCCTGCTTGTATTTCCGGCAAAGGGTCCTCTTCATGCGGATCATCTTGCAAAAGTTGGAATCGTTCATCTGGAAATCAAGACATTCCTTCCGATGTGGGGAAGACATTCCCTGAGCAGCAGGAGAAATCAGGTTGAGACGTGCCCATAGGGTCTCCATGATCTCTCCATCAATGCGACCAATGCCTTCAATGAAATTCGACGCATATCTGACATAGCAGCTATCCTGATGTCCAGTGGATGTGCCACAGCCCAATTCCGGGAATGACAGGTCAATTCCGGAACCATTGTCAGAAATCGGCCTTGATCCACCCTGAACACGCAAGTGCTTGTTGTATTGACAGTTGATGTCATAGAAGGTGACAGCCCTTGTAATCCCATCCATGTTGTGCTGGGCAGCCTCACAAAGTGCAGTAGTCCATGTTCATTTGTCTGCAAACGATGCATGGTCAACTCGGGAATGTTGAACGGCATGTCCGGCTTGCCTTTCGCCTTTCTGGAAATCTACCATCAAGTGAGGGACAAAGCAACCGTGTCGGCCACAGGCTACTCCCCTGATGCCGGTGGACTCCAGCTTGTGCCGAGCTGCATTTGCTTGATTGACAGCCCAATGATTGTTGCAGCTCGATTTTTCCACAGTGTCAGCAGCCTCTTCAAGATGCTTTCGATACCTTTCCTTTCCCACCATAAACCCCAACCCATCGGAGAGCCATACTTCATCATATGGCTTGATGGGATGCAGGTGTTCGGCTTTGAAATTTCTGTCCATCACAAATGACCAGGGTGTATTTCCAGCTTGGAGTTTTTAATATCGCCGACGTAGATTCGGTAATGAAAGAGACTCACTCATCAAGTGATTCATCCCCTGACAAGGATATGTTAATCCCGGGCTGAGGACATGCCAGGGCAGAATAATGCGAGATCTCCGGCATTTGGGTTGTCGGAACTATGCCCAAAGCCATGCCATTTCATAGACTTTAACTGCCTCCACTGTCGAGCGACTCTCATAAGCTCTCTGTATCGGTCCTTGCAATGTGCTTTGTCAATATAATGTGCTTCAGATGATGTAGATATGGTATTACCGGAACGAGGTGGGGAAACACACTCGAGGTCATTCGCCGAAGCTTGCTGTAATAGTTCATCGCTGAGGTGCCGCATTTGAGGTTGTCCAACAGAAAATCATCTAGCACTCTGAAGGTGAACACGGTCTTCAGCTTGTTAAATGATGCAGGGAAAAAGCCATGTCGAAAACATTTGAATGTCTGGACTCATGGCATTGGGACAATCACAGCATTGAACCTCGAGGCGATGGACTCCTGACTTGTCAATGATGACCATTGTATTTTCCTTGGGCTGGAACTCAGGGTCCCGAATACAGAAGGTAGATCTTCAGGTTCAAAGTGGTCTTCTTGTTCATCTTCGTCAAACAAATCCCACCTATCCGTGACTACCGGACACTGGCTTGCCATCATGACCGAGGTATATGACGAGTCCAACATGAGCCAGACAACTTTGCTCGAAGAATTGACCATTCCATTGACTGATCCAGTGGAAAGGATTGCAATGATGTTGACTCCGGCAACAGCCTGTGCAATAGAGAGGCTCCCCAAGACAATCTTGACATTTGAAGACCCCATCCTGATCGCAGATGACGCATCTCCTATCTTCTGGTGGAGCTTCTCAATCCAGGAGGTGATGGAGATATGATTCCTGCCTTGGCAGCCATTGCCTGAGGTAGTCATTCTGACTCTGCATTTTTTAATACTTAGCTTTCATTTGAAAGACATTCCAACATTTTACATGAACTTGCCATTGTTTTTGGGAGTTGCAAGGGCTCAAATGACCCTTGGTCTTGCTCATAAGTATCTTCAGGAAAGTCTTCCCAAGGAGGTGGGGCCTGAACAGGTTCAAGTGTCGGTGATTCCAGGGGGAGAGTTAGGCATGGACCTGTAGGTATGTTGTCTCATGCTGGCAAGTGGGACCTTGACCCATGTCTTCCTACCTTTGCTGCCCCTTGCTTCTACCCTGTGGGATTTCTGCAATGGGGTGCAACAACCTATCTTCATTTTATTTTTTAATGTTGCAAGGAAAGCATTAGCTCAGAAGGTCAAACAAATTGTTATTCCATCATCGTATTATGCAGTTTGGTTGGCTCATTACCAATTCATTTCCATGAATGGCATTGCATCCATTATAGGTAGATTAACCAACTGTTAGGCATTGATCAAAGTTGAACTTGCAACCATTATTGCTTCCACTTTGCTTATCCTCAGCCCATTCTGCAATCTTATTCACCATGGCAAGATCAGGTCATTCCACTCAGTTGACTTCTAGAAGACACAGAATACATCAACCACAGTCACAGAAGCTCACGGGAAACAAAATTTCAGAGCTGAAGAACTACCTTCCTGAGTGGACTTCTGCAAAAAGGAGCGAGAAATGGGGAGTTTTCAATGCCATAGCTCGAGCGGCCAGGTTATTTGCTCCTAAGGTCGACCAAGGACAATGGAAAAAGAGGAAGCAGGTGATACATCCTTGTTGTGTTGAAAAACTCGATTTTTCATGTCTGATTCTTCCTCTGCCTCTTAGATGTAAAAGACTTGGTTGTTCAACAACAAGAAAAAAAGGAAAGGAAGGACATGATTAAGTATGGGAGGAAATGGACACCTAGGCAGGTGATCTATCAGCAGAACAGAGAGGAAGTGCTAAAGAGGATCGAGGATGAGTTCAGGGCAAAGCCAGGAGGTCAAGACATGTTCAAGCATTATCAAGCTGTGGTGAAGAAGGTCATGGCCGATTTGTCCGAGGATGAGTTGGAGAAGGCGAAAGAAACCACCAAAGAATGGTCCAACAACTTTCCTCCTCCTGAGACACAGGCGCAAGTCGCCCATAAGAAGGGACCTGTATATATGGAGCACTTTTTGAACGAGATGTGGAGACAATGTGGGATGAGAGTGTTTGTGTTGTCGGCTTGGAAGAATGAACACGGAGAGGTGCTGTTCAGGATGTCAGTGAATTTTATCTGTCATCGCAGATATTTGGTCTCAACTTATTTCACATAGGCACAATGACAACGAGGCATTAGGGGATGGGGACAGCTTCATGAAGACTAAGGACTGGGAGGACATAGAGCCAGTTTGGCAGGAGTACACGCAGGAACAGTTCGGTGAGTGTTCCCACTGTGGAGATGAGAATGATTTCATTGATCGTCGGATCATAGGTGGTGAGGCACAGGATGGAGGGTGACAGGTGAAGGGAGGGCGAAAAAGAATGAAGAAATCAGTGTTCGATCTGGAAATGGATGGGGATGGGATGCCATTGCTTCCAGACATCACAGAAACAAAACTCGAGGAGAAGAAGGCCATAGTGAGGGCTTTTCTTACAAAGCACTATAGTGAGTCTGGCTTCGTAACTTCCTAAGAGAATATCTTTAATGTAGGGTACAGGGATCTGTTCTGGGATTGACAAGGCTGGAGTGCCATGGAGTGCCATCGTACAAAGTCAGGATGACTTTGTGGCCAGACAGTATCTTCCGGCGGATGTAAACTTGAAGGAGCCTTCCAAGTTGCAAAATTGGGATACCACCGCCTTGCTCAATTTCTGGTATGCTCGGCAGAAGATGGGTGAAGGTCCGATGTTCCTGTTCAAGGCATGGAGGAACAAAGAAGGCGACATGGTAGATTCCGTTGTATCCTGAGAAATCACCTGCTCGTCTGAAGCGGAAGAGGGTGATGATCTGGAGACCTCGGGATTCATCAACTGAATCCGAGAGTGAGGCTGAGGGCCCTGGCGATGTTGAACATGAAGTTCCACTGCCAGCCCCAAAGAGCTTCTGGGGGAAGAAAGATGTGATTGAGGCACCGGCGAGAACAACTCGGAGTAAGTCAGTGCAACAACCATCTGACAGAGTTACTAGAGCAAGGGGCAATAAGTAACATACATGTACCATTGTCTCATATGTCACTATCAATGTTATTCAATTGGTATTCAATTTACATGTGATGTTAATGTGGTCAAAGATTCTGTGGTTCACCGAGTAATTTGAACAAATCACCATGTACTGAGTTCTGGGTATTGATTACCAAGGTCCAGGCATCGAGGTTCAGACAGGTACTTGATTCACGGAACTCGGTATTTGTTACCCAGAACTCGGAACTCGGAACTCAGCACTCGATGCCCGGACCTTGATGCCTGGACCTTGATGCCTGGACCTTGATGCCTGGACCTTGATACCCAGAACTCAATATTCAGTGTTGGGTACTCTATGCCTGGAACTTGATACCCGGAACTCTTGATAGATTACTTATTCTACATGGCAGTAATGTAACACCTCCGTGTTCCAGCAATCTACATGTGATGTGACTATGTTATCGAAGATTCGGTATTTTACTGATGTTGGTACTTTACATGTGATGGTATCGAAAATTCAGAAGTTTAGTTTTGGTTTCGTTCTTCACACTGACGAATCATGGAATCTACCACCTTGAGCATTTTGATGCTTGCCTGTTCAGCTCTTCTCAGCCTCTGTAGCTCAGCATCAGCCCTCCGGAGCTTGTCAGATGTATCCACCCAAGCAATTCAAAATGGTTGCTCGGCCTCAATGAGTAGTGGTATGGAAGGGGCCGGAAGACCTCCATTATCTTGTTTGTAGCTGCTGAGTCTATCTTGAAGGGATTTCACTGAAAGGAAAATAAGAAAAATGATAGATATAGTAGTATACCAAATACTCACATCCGGAGTGTTTGAATGACCCTATTGGCTGGAACTCACAAACCATTGCATGCAAATCTTCATTTGTGACCTCTGGATGTGCTGGAATGCGTTCAGCAGGTCTCTCATTCGCTTGCGAGATAAATTAAGTTTTGATCGAAAAATGTGTTGAATTTACTTACATGACATTGAAACTTCAGATGCGACCAGAGACTCACACCGTGCATAGACAGAGCCCAGGCTCATCATCACAATCAATCAGATCCTCATCAGGCCCAAGGTACAAGTCTGGGTCGATGTACTGAACTGATTGATCGTATTGAGCCTGGAGGTAATTGATCTGTACGAGTTTAGTGAGCATGCATGGTAATATCCAAGTGATAAATGTACCGGGGATTGCAGCCAACACGCCCGGACCACTGGAAGACACGGAATCATCTTCTATTTCATCATCTGGCCCAAGGTATAAATCATCTAAGGCATGTAAGATAAAAACATAGATAAGGCATAGTACAAATAGATCTTACCTGTTGATGTCCGGGACTGTGTTGAATCATCTACATCCATCGAATAATACTCAGTCACCAGAGGATCATTAAATCTGACTGTTGGATGTGAATTCATCTTGTGAGGGACGGAAGTACCGATAATTGATTGTGTACTTGAAGTTCAACTGAAGTCCGGCAACTTCCGAAAGTTGAACCATCGCCAAACAAAGCCAAACAAATCAACAAAGTTTTACATGGCTGTTCAACTACCTGTTTTCCCTCTGAAACTTCATCAATTTCACATCTGATTCAAAGATTTACAGATCTTTCTCATCATTCAACATGTCCACTGCAGCTGAAACCTCTTTTGCCGAACTTAAGGCAATCACTAGGCAGATTGTTGACATTGTCCATGCGGCTCAGCTCCTCCCACCCAGCAACAGCCACTTGGCTCTGAAAGCACAAGTCACTGAACTGGTGGTATGTGGTTTTTCCTTTTTTTCTTTTTGTTTTCTCTAATGTCCGGGCAGGCTAAGGCCATCCGGGACCATGAGGATTCACCTTGCATTCCGGGCATAGTTTTGTCCTGCTCCAAGGAGTTACTTCGTGTTCGGCAGGTGTCCCCCCAGGATTCGCCCGACTGGCACAGCATCGGCCATAATGATTGTCACCTCCAGAGGCACAGCTGGCGCCACAAGGTCTCCACATGGGAGGCTTTAGGTGACTGGACATTCGATCTTCTGGTCGATGCCCCCAAATCCCCTGACACTGTCACGGTCGATCTTCCCTCCCCACCTGTCGTCACTGGCAGCATTGCCGGCCCATCATCTGGCACTATCAACGAGTCCCGGGAGAAGCGTAAGGATAAGGGTAAGGGTAAGGCATTAGATGCTGACCCGGAACCTGAGGCAGACGGGAGTAGGAAGAGGAAATCGCCCCTGATTTCAGGACCCTCCTCCCAACTGCCAACTGCCAAAATCCGCAATGAAGAGTCACAAGAGGGCAAAGTCAGCTAGGGTTGTGAAGTCAGCCGAGTTTGTGGAGTCCGAGGACGAACATATGGACAAGGTATGTCATTCCGTTTGTTGTTTTTGTTGTCACTCATTATTTTGCAGCTGGCTGCACAAGGAGGGCCGGTTGTCTTACTTCATCGTCTCACCTCAGTCTCACCCCGAATCCCCAAGAAGGCACCTTTCAGCCCTGCGAAGGTATGTCTAATTTATGCCCGCATCACTCCCAGTCATCCATACTGTCGTCAGGTAATTGCCAGAAGGCGTGCAGACATCGCCGGGCAGACAGACTTGATGTCCAACACCCCCGTGGTCACCCTGGTGGTGGCACCAAATGTCATCGATGGCCCTGCTGGAAGCCCTCCGGAGGTCATCGAGCACTCGGACTCGGTGTCCAATACCCCCGCGGTCACCCCAGATGTGGCGCCAACTGTCATTGATACAGATGACATTCTCATTCCCGGACCGGTGAGTACTTTGAAAATTCATTGGGCATCCTTCAACTAACTGAACAAACAGAACAACCCATGCTGGGCTTGCAACAATGCGGAGTTGCCCTGCACGACCCGGTTCGACAAGAGGACTGGGAAAGGCCTTCTCTCCTGTGTTTTCTGCAACACAAAGAAGGTAAAGTGTTTTTCCGTCACCCTCAGAAGTCCACCAAAACGGTCGCAGGGTAAGTCGACCACCCAGAAGGCCAGGTCCCGGACACCTTCCAAAGCTCTGTCCACCTCCTAACCAAATGCCCAGACCCGCAGCCAATCTCATAATGTAGCCGGAGCTACCGGCGCCGGTGCTGCCAGAACTGCCAGTGGGTCTGTTGCAACTGCGCCTAAGATGTGTGGTCGCAGCAAGACAATAACTGCTGTCAAGGCACCCGCCCCACCACCTACACCCTCACCTGCACCAGCTCGTAAGTCTTTTGAATTTCTCATCATCATCTTATCTTATTCCTTTGTAGCAATTGTGTCTTCGAGTGCCCGCGTGCCTCATGTGGCTCTCGATGTCCCCATGCCAGACCTCCATTCCATGGCAATCAGTATTCATGATAGTGCCGGACACATCAAGGCTCTCAAGGATCTTGTTGCCAAGCAGGGCAGACGTATTGATACCCTTAGCAGGCTCCATGAGAGCCTTCAACGTGAAACCATGGAACGCCATCCCTCATTTCCCCTTCCCACTACTCTGGCAATTGCAACGTCTTTGTTGCTTGATCAATCTGTCACTGGAACGACATCACCCTCCCAATCTGCACTCCCTCCTCTCATCGATCTTTCGATCGCAGTGATGGAGCCCACACCCTCGAAAATTGAGGATCCCTCTGCCATCGAGGGTCCTTCATTTGAGCCGAGCCAAGTTCAACCAGCCCCGGACCCATCACCTACTCCCCCAACTGCCGGAGCAATTTTGGTGCCGGATGATCCACGCAACCTTGTCCCAGAATACGATTCTGGTGATGAGATGGATGTTGAGGTGAAGGTTGAAGTTGAAGGTGGTGATGAGGGTCATCTGGTCAAGGTTGAAGTTGAAGGTGGTGATGAGGGTCATCTGGGCGAGGTTGAAATGTCTACATAATTTGGTAGTTATATTTCTGTAAATGTTGTTGAAATGCATTGTACCTCTGCTATACCCAAAGAATGAAATCATTGAGTTCTGGGTAACTAATACTGATGTCCGGGTAACTAATCCCGACGTCTGGGTAACTGATACTGACGTCCAGATAACATCCATCGACGTCCGGGTAACTGATATCGAGTTCTGGGCATCGAGCACCAAGTTCCAGGTAACTAATACCGACATCCAGATAACTGATATCGACATCCGGGTAACTGATATTGAGTTCCGGGTATTTCGTAAATTAGACAAATCACCAAGTACCGAGTTCCGAGTTCTGGGCATCAAGTGCAAAGGACCGAGTTCCGAGGTCCGGGCATCGAGTACTGAGTTCCAGGCATCGAGTACTGAGTTCCAGGCATTGAGTGCCAAGTACTGAGTTCTGAGTTCCAGGAATCAAGTGCCAAGTACTGAGTTCCAAGGTCTGGGCATCGAGTACTGAGTTCCGGGCACCAAGTTGTGTTTCGGTGCTCAATGCCCGGATCTCGGTACTCGGTACTTGGCACTCGATGCCCGGAACTCGGAACTCAGTACTTGGTGATTTGTTCAATTTACAAAATGTTGTATTTTAGTTTCGTGTTTCGGTGCTCGATGCCCAGATCTCGGTGCCTGGAACTCAGAACTCAATGCCTGGAACTCGGAACTCAGTACTTGGCACTCGACACCTGGAACTTGGTACTCAATGCCTGGAACTCGGTACTCAATGCCCGGACCTTGGAACTCAGTCCTTCGCACTCAATGCCCGGAACTCGGAACTCGGTACTTGGCACTCAATGCCTGGAACTCGGTACTCGATATCAGTTACCCGGATGTCGGTATTAGTTACCCGTAACTCGATATCAGTTACCCGGACATCGATGGATGTTACCTGGATGTCGGTATCAGTTACCTGGACGTCAGGATTAGTTACCCGGAACTTGGTACTTGGTATTAGGTACTTGGTGATTTGTCTAATTTATGAAATGTTGTATTCAGGGTTTCGTGTTTCTTGTTTCAGTGGTCGATGATAGGTGTATGCACTCATACAGTGGGTATGTACTGGTGCCTACATCAGCACACTGATTAGGATGTTATCCAACTATCTCAGCCCACTGATTTTTATAACACCCATTCTTCTGCGCCCACCCGTCTATATGATATCAACCATCTCGGCCCACCCATCTATATAATATACTACTACCTCGGCCCATATGTCTATATAATATACCACCACCTCGGCCCATATGTCTATATGATACGTATCTGGGCCCACCTGTATATGTGATATCCAACTACCTCAGCCCACCTGTCTATATAATATCTAATAAATCGCTCTCTTGGCCCACCCGTTTATATGATAACAATTACTTCAGCCCACCCGTCTACATGATATACCCCTAAGTCGGCCCACCCATCTACACAATATACTACTACCTCGGCCCACCCGTCTATGTAATATAACCTATGTCGGCCCACCCATCTATATCATATAATAAACTGCTCCTCCAGCCCACCTGTCTATATAATATACTACTACCTCAGCCCACCCATCTATATAATATACTACTACCTCGGCCCACCCGTCTATATCATATATAATAAACTGCTCCTCCGGCCCACCCGTTTATATAATAATACCACTACATCAGCCCACCCGTCTATATAATATACATCTCTCTTCAGCCCACCTGTCTATAATATACATGTCCATCCTACTCTACATATTACCTAGATGGGCCCACCCATATTCATCGGTAATAATATCCCTCCCGGCCCATCCGTTAACATCGAGGATATCTTCATCATCGGCCCATGGTCTGCTGGCCCGTGTTATACGGGATATTATGCACGTCAGTTGCCTCATATAATATGGAGTTTGTCACTGAAGGGGCTCTGGTTGGCCTGTCTAACACGGAGTTGTACACTGAATGGGCTCACCCATGGTGTATGATGGCACTGTCAATTCTTGAGCCTTTCATTGATTCATAACCGAGGGAACAGCCTACATGGAGGATGGTAAGGTAACCTCCAAGAAGAAAGTGTTTATACTGTTTCATTACCTCAAGGGTAAAGCACATGAATTCTATATACGAGAGGTATCGGGAGATCTGTACCGTTGGAGACTGAGAGAATTCTTTATGGAGATGTTCAACTATTGTTTCCCAATCAATTTTAGGACTAAACAACATGAAAAGCTAAAACGATGCTTTCAGAACAACAAACCTGGGTGTGATTATATCTATGAACTCAATGAGTTATGGAACATGATTGGGGACATTGACAAACGGGATCGGGTAACTCAATTATGGATGGGATTGAATATGAAAATCCAGCAGGAGCTGTGGAAAAAGGAACTGAATTCTGAGGTATCCTCCTTTAAGGAGGTACAAGCTGCCGCTGAAATAATCTAGATTGTGCACTCAGTAACAATGGGACACAAAAGGAGGCCCACCCGAAAGGAAAAGGATGGACCAACTGTAGTAGGCAGTGCAGCTGCAACCCCAAGAATCAGAAATCCTCAAAGGGATAGAAATCCAGATGGGAGACAATGAGTGTATCGCCTGAACCCACCTGGGGAACCCTGTCAGTCAAGACCCTCGACCAGCTATGGAGGAGATGGGTCTCAATGAAAGGGTGAGATGTGAATAGGTCAGAGAAATGACTCACTTAGTATTGAAGAGAGAAATTGCCTGAGTGCTGAAGGACACTGCTACAACTGTAAGGAGTTGGGTCATCTGTTGCGGAGCTGTCCCAAGAAAGTGAATGTAAAATCTAGCTCACCTGGCAAGCTGCCTGGGATACCCAGTTTCGGGATCCATGTGGAAGGTGAACTGTCAGAGGGATTGCACAGTTTAGCAAACACAACAGAGATGCAAGATAGACTGTACCTAGGTTCTGTAGGCATGTTGCTTTTGAATGCCACTGAGTCCCTCATTGAGGGTGATGAGACGGGAACAGCAAGATTTTTACGGCCAAAGGGGTTTCGAGATCTGATAGCCCAAAGAGCTATCGATTTGCTTCAGGGGGTCAAGTACCTGGGCGACGAATGGCTGAAAATGGATTGGAGTGATCCTGATTGATTCACTGTGTTCAGAATCTCAGATGATAAGTATGCAATCATCGACCACTCACATCCTGAGATTTGGACAAACATTGATAGTGCAAGTTTGGAGAACCCACACTTTCATTTGGACAGCACATATTTCATCCATCTGGGCTTAGAGTTAGGGTATGAAAGGTGCTGGCTAAGAAAACAGGATCACAGACACACCTATCGGAAACCTCCAATGGGAGATCCTGTATCAGATCGCTTGGTTTGGTGGCTAAGTGAGTTCAGTCCAATGTGCACTGAGAGTCCTTTTTGTACTTGGTGCCTGTGTTTTACCTGTCACAAAGCCATCAATGGGAACTGGCTGTTATATGATCAGAGGCTAAACTTACATACCCTAGTACCAATAAAAAAAGTGCGTTGGTGACACTGGGATCCAGAGAGATGGTATACGCGACAAATACAGCACAAGATGAGGGCACTGAAGGGCATCTGTTATGACAGGATGGCCAGAATGTTTAGTCTCCCATCAGACAATGAAGAGGGACTTTGGCTGGTGATATCTGACTGGATAGACATTGGGAGGATAGTGAGGACCTGTGAGGCCTTGAACAAAGGAAGCCTACTGTGGGAGGTTAGGGTATGAGGAGTACAGGTGCCCTCTGGAACATACCCATCGTTGCAATGAAATGCTGTGGTAACCTGCGATTTCACCTGTGCTATACCAAAGCTCATTGTAGTGGTAGTGTGCATCAATGAACGACCAGCTCAGGCACTTATAGACACAGGTTCATTAGCCGATTTCATGTTGCTGACAACTGCAGAGCAGCTTGATGCACAACTTACCATGTTAGAGAAACCTCTGACCATTCAACTGGCCGTTCAAGGGTCCAGATCAAAGGTCAATTATGGGACAACTGTCTGGTTTCAGTATTGGGGTGTGGACTATAACCAATACTTTGATGTGATCAACTTACAGAATTATGACCTCATACTGGGGACTCTGTTCCTATACCAGCATAGCGTGACTGTTGGGTTCAATGCATCACATGTTGTGCTGGGAAGCGCAACACCATTGGCCTTGGCAGGAGAAGGGGTAATGACCCTGGAGTCACGGGTAGCAGAAATCGTCAGTGACAAGCTTGAGAAAACTTGTGAGTACCTTAAACAGTTAGCGCGACTGCTGTGTACTAAGGCTGCTGAAATGAAGCTCCCGCTGCTCCATTCAATAAATCATACCATCCCATTAATTGATGAAGTGAAAATATATCTGTGGCACCCATCACAGTGCCCTGAACAGATGTGACCCCAGTGGGCCAAGAAGAGACGCACCTATTTAGCCTCAGGGCATTGGCAAATGACAAGCGCTGGAAATACCGTCCCTATGCTGTTTATAAGGAAACCAGGGACGGATCGCCTGCAAATGGTGGTTGATCTTAGAGAACAGAACAAGAATACACGAAAACTTAGCTCTCCTTTACCTGAAATGGAAGGTATCCTGCGTCGGGTAGCACGAAAGAAGTTTTGATCACTAATGGATGGGCAAGACGTGTACAAACAAATCAGAGTGATACCTGAACACGTATCATGGACAGCTATGACTACTCCAGATGGGAACATGGTTAGCCATGTGTTACAGCAAGGAGATTGCAATGCACCTGCTACCTACCAGGCCATAATGAATCACTTATTCGGTGAATACATTGGAATCTTCATGGACGTATATCTAGATGATATCATCATCTACTCAGATACGCTCGAGGACCACATTGAACACATATGGGTAATCTTGCGTATTCTTGAGTGGGAGTAGCTTTATTTGAGTGAGAAGAAGCTAAAGTTTCTGTGCCCTGTGATGAAAATCCTAGGCAGGATTATGAGTGACAATGGGATCTGTATGGACCTGGACAAAGTTGACAAGGTACTGACCTGGAAGGCGCCCGTGAATTGCAATTTATGTCATGGATTCATTGGGGCCATTGGGTACCTCTTGGACAATATTCACAAAGTTTGCATACCTTTGGGGGTGTTATCGGCTGTGTGTGGTGACACGGTGCCGTTTCATTGGACAGAAACAGAGCAGCACGCCTTTGAGGAGGTGAAGCATTATGTCAATGCTTGCTCTATGCATCATTGGGTGCCACTTACCTATGGGTTGGATCAACTGCCTGTGTCATATACCTGATCCGACCACTCTGATATTAATATCTGCTCTGCTTTCCGACCACCTCTGCTCCATCCATCCTCCGCTCCGTCCAATCATCATCCGCTTCCGCCCCTACACTTCCGCTCAACTGCCCAACCAGGTCCCCTTCCATAACATCTCCATTCAACTGGAACTGCTTTCCCCTTTTAGATATATACTTTCCCCTTCGGTACATAGACCCTTACTCCCGGATCACTGGTAATTCCTCTTACCGCCCAATTGCTGATCCGACACGTACATATTGATATCCACTCTGACTTATGTCTTCACCTGTGTAAATACTTACAAATTATATCCTTGGTACATAGCTTTACAACATAGTTATCCTGACCACTACTTCATACTTAGAAGTATATAACATATCCTATACTTAGATATTTTCCTCAGTCTTAATATTACTTGTCTTCTTGCAGTTACTACTTGTGAGAATTCTCAGTAGGACCTTGCCTCCTCTGGACACAAGTTTCATCTTGTTGTCACCTCCGACCCTCCGCTCCAACTTAGAGCCATGCTCTAAGTCTCCTCCTTGCTTCTCCGCCCCTATCAAATATTCCCCCTGCTCCTTTCCACCCTCTGCATTATCCTCCGCCTTCTCTGCTCTGCTCCTAGTCGGCCCACCGCTAGTAGCACTTACCTCCCAACCCTCAAAACAGACCTAAGCGGTCCACTTGTCCTATCGTCAGACAACGTCAGACCCGCTCCAAATTTGGGGCACATACTTGGCTAAGGGCACAGCGCAAGAGCTGAAGCCAAGCCCCGACCCCTCTGCTTCTTGAGCTGGCACTGGTACCTAACAGCCTGTCTGGATGATGACAGATGCATGCCCCACAGGGGTAGGAGGCATGGTGGCGCAAGCGCATGACTGGAGGTCTGCCAAGATTGCTGCCTTCTACTCAGTGAAGATGAATTCAGCACAGTGGAATTACCCTATCCACGAACAGGAGATGTTAGCAGGGGTAGATACTATGCTGAGGCATAGGGACATATTGTAAGGATACCCCTTCACCTGGCTCACAGATCATAGAAGTCTGATTTATATACTGAATCAGAAGAACTTGTCAGGATGGCAGGCTCGGTGGGTGGAGAAACTCGATGAGTTCAACTTTACCGTTGAATATTTGCCAGGGGCGCACAATGTGCTACCAGATGCACTGTCCTGCATGTGTGACTTTGACACACCTGGGACGGTGCGCGCTGTCAGCGAATATGTTGCATATGATGAGCACTCACCACCTGAGGATGGGTCCGGTTTGGTGAGCATGCCAGTGCTGGTGGGTGCTGAGGCTGATGTGGCCACTCCACGATGGAGCTCGCAGGTGGCTATCTGCACTGTGAAGTGCATCCTGGCTGACACTCAGCTGGGGCCAACATCAGAGATGCCTCCAGGTGGGCCACTGGTGAGTTTGCCCATGGGTGGGGCAAGTACTGGGTTTGCATGGCATGTAAAGCAATTCTTGCTGTGTGACCCTCATCTGCTGGATCAGGACCCTGCCTCAAGAATGGAGGGGGGTACAGGTGACAGGACCTGAAATTCAAGAAAGCAAAAGCAAAAACAAGGAAGAAGCAATGAGAATTCCGGTGACATACCCTCACAAGATGGAATTACTGGGCCAAATGAGGCACCAATACAAGGAAGACACCTTATTTAAAAAGGTACTCAAAGCACCAAAAGAGTTTAGGAACTTTGAAGTGAAGGATGGGTTAATCAGAATCAAGTTAAAGATAGGACACCCCTATGCATACCTGATAGTAAGATAGATGGACAGCGACTAATTGAGATCATAATTGATCAAGCGCACTCTATATTAGCCCACTTAGTGGCAGATAAGACCCTGTCATATCTTTGGGAGCATGTCTGGTGGAAGACTATGGCGCAAGATGTATGAACCTTCTGTACATCCTGTAAAACATGTCAGCAGACCAAGCCTCCCAACCAGAAACCTTACAGATTGTTGAATCCTCTTCCAGTCGTGTTGTGACCCTGGGAGGCCATAGGAATTGACTTCATTGGACCCCTACTGTTATCTCATGATCGAGATGCTGAGTATGACTTGATAACAGTCATAATAGACTTGTTGTCAGGGATAGTACACCTTGTGCCCAGCTGAACTACATACACTGCCAAGGATGTGGCTGAATTGGTGTTTGCTGAAATCTATAAGCACCATGGAATACCTAAGGTGATCATTAGCAACCACAATGTCTTATTTACCAGTAACTTCTGGACTAACCTCAATCATCTCATTGGTGTGACTTTGAAAATGTCAAGTGTGTATCATCCAGAAACAGACGGAGCCATGGAACACGCCAATCGAACTATTGGACAAATGCTCAGAGCTTGTATTGCCCCAAACCAGCAGGATTTGGTTGCGAGACTACCAGCGATCAAGTTTGCCATCAACATGGCACAATTGGAATCTACAGGCTTGCCACCATTCTATATGAACACAGGGTGACTACCTTGCACTACGATTTGGGAGAACCCTGGGCCTTCTGAATACCCAGGGGTATGCATCTTTGCTTAGCATATAAAAGCCGTTATCATGTCGGCTCATGACGCGGTTATTAGCGCCCAAGTCAAGCAGACTCGTGAGGCGAATAAGAAATGAAGACCTAGCCCACTAGAAAAGGGTGATCTTGTATACATTTCGACAAAAAATATATCCTTGCCTAAAGGAACTTTCAGGAAACTATCTCCTAAGTTTATCAGTCCCTACAGGATATTGGAGGACTACTGAAACAACTCGTATAATCTTGAGTTGCCCGACTGGCTGAAACAATGAGGCATTCACCCAGTATTCCACTTGCCTTACCTTCACATTGGAAGCCACCCTCAGGTGACTCCCAAGTGTTCTTAGGACACTTATCTTTCAATCAGTTCACAGGCTGTAACGAACCAATGACAAGCCTACCTGCCCCATCTCCCAATCGCACTTTCAACCATCACTTGCCCACCACATTCGGCCTTATCATATCCCCTTGCGCTCTCTTAATCCTAACAGTAATGGCCCCACTACATACTTGCATCGGTGCATGTTGCTTCACTCTTACCAATGCCACTGCTGATGGTGATCTCCTGGTCGTGGTCAATATCATTTGCATGTACCTTGAGTATGATGCTCACTTGAGGTTGGGCACCACCGCAGATTGTGCAACACCTGTGGGATACGGGGAGTTTGCTTTGGCCTTTAACACCATGCAGTCCCTTTCCTCCGCCACTCTGCGATTCTCAGAAGGGAAAACTTACAGGCCCAAAATCACTGGCCCCTCACCATCACTCACTGACTTGGTTGGGGAAAATGTGCCTGCCAAGTCCAATCACAACCCTACTCCACCGCTTCCTGAAGGAGGACACTGGATCAACCCTCAGCATGTTGAGCTCCTGGAAGAGGCTCTGTGGCAGAACCTCAAAACTGCCAAAAGGAAATGTGAGTGGTGTGAGCGCACAATTGCAGAGCAGAAAAACAAGTATACCCACCGACGAATACCCCATTAACCACAGTGAAAGTTCCAGCTCTAGCAGGTGCAACATGCTGTCCACTTGTGGCTCTTCTACTCAGACCCCAGTGTTGGAATTGAGCAAGTGTGCCTGCAGCCGTGGTGCTCCATCATTTGTTCGTATCTTCTGATTGGTTGAGCTCATCAAGTCGTATGTTTCCATTGTTTGGTCTTGTTATTCATTTTTGCTTTGTACCTACTGAATCCTTTGTGTGCTATGGCCAGCACCTTCTCCCATTATCCCAAGTTTCACTTACTCACAAGATCACTCGAACTATTTAGCTATTGCCATTTCGACTTGTTACCTCAGATGTTTGCCTTTGTGTGCACAATCTGAGGTAAGATACTTAGTTCCCCACTTATATTTCACCTTTACTTATATTGTGCAGAGTGTCTGTCTATTATAGACCCACGCGATTGTATTAATCCTTTACCCAGTTCTGCCTGCTTGTATAGAGATAGATGCATCAGGAAAAAGGTCAGACACAGCTTGCACACTGCCAGAGTAATATATTGCTACATAGCCTTGGTAGTACAACAGAGCATCCATAGATCATCCATAGCACTAAATACTGCACTGTAGCGCGCCATGATGCCCATAGTAGCTATGTGGTTTGTGCGGCAACTCATAGTCAATATAGTATCCTATAGTTAACATTAATGGTATCATAGCTTCTAGGATTTAGACAAGCGCTCAAACAACTCCAAATCGATGTACCTATTAAGATAAAATTCTTCTCACACATCCGACTCTCGACCAACCCAAGGAATAAGATGGCATGGGCAAAGAACTTAATGGACTGGTACCACCAGTGCGTTAGGACCACGCTGATGTGAAGACCTGGTGAGGTGGAAGCTGTGCAAATTTTCATCAAAGCTTTGAAGCAGCCAAAACCAATGAATCTATGCCAGGGGGTGTGGAAAATTCCTGAGAGATGACGGAAGCTTGAAAATGACCCTTACTTCACCCACTTGAAGACCTAAGTTGCAGGTCAGAACAGCCCACCACCAATTTTCAATGCTCACCAGATATACCTTCACCAGTGTACTCATTCTCATCTTCAATCACCAGCACACTGTTGAAGTGTGCAGGCACTGGTGGTCTCCTCACATCTGATGCAGGAATCACTGGTGTCACATGGACCTTGAACAAACACTTTCTGTTGTTGATATGGGGTCGTGCTGGAGAGAGAATCTTGAGGTATTTGTAGACATCAACCCGGTCTTGTGGTGTGAGTTTTCACTGCAACCAGCTCAGAAGATGGGTGCAAAGGAATTCTTCAAGAGCCGGCATGAAAAGCGAAGCACCATGATCGTTGAGTAAGCACTGGATTGTCAACTTTGGAAACAGACATGTCCTGGGGACAAAGTAGCCATGTGAACCTGTCACCATTGTGAACCATTGTACCTGAGAAGGTAAGTCAACACAGTTCTCAGGTCCTGGGCTATCTGATTCTGAAGAAGAGCCACTGGTGTCTGAGTCTTGCTCCAGCAGGTTTGAACCTTGATTGACAGGGTGCTGGGAACACCACCATTGAAGGTAGGCATCTTGGATGTGCATATTAAGGCTGCTCGTCTGCAGGTTGGTCATTGCTGGGAGTTGCCTCTTGTGTGGCTTGCCCAAGGTTACGCAGCTGGTCCATGTGTTGCTTACAGGCTGCAGTTCAGCTAATATGACTGCTAATGGCTCTTGCACTTTGGAAATTGCCTTTGAGGCAAAAATTGCAGCGGTGCATGATGATCAAGCAGGACAAGCCAAACAAGCCAACCTGACCCATAAATGACAGTTCAACTGAGTCTCACCTGGCTGACTTATCAGACATTGAAACTTTTTTCCTCCAGATCAGTCCCATCTCTCAAGATTGCAGGTCACACATGTGTTAAGGTCGTGCTCAAAGGGGAGGTTACTCAAAGGGCTTTGGCTTCAGCTCGTGCGCTGTGCCCCTTACCCAAGTATGTGCCCTTAATTTCTGAGGGGCAGAAGGGAAGTCCGACAGAAGTCCGGGAAGTCCGGAAGTCAGATGTCGGGGGAGTTCGGTGGAACTCTGGAAGACTTATGAGAGAATGGAGTAAGGCTACTGCAGACAAGTCCGGAGTAGAAACAGAACAGAGGTTAGACTACCCTAAGGTAGAGCCAGAGATTTAGTCCTAAGGTTTAACCCCTAAGACTCGGAGGTGGACAAGAGGTGAGACTCAAGTCCGGAGAAGCAGGAATGAGCAGAACTAAGATGATATTCAAACTGAGGAGTTCCGGAGTATTACAGGAGCTTATATACTGTAGGTATCATGTAGGTAAATCAGTCAGCAAAGTAAGGGCTATGTACGAAGCATGTGGAAAGTCTATTAGTAAGTGTACACGGATCAAAGCAGTGAAGTCAGAAATGAAACAAGAACGGACGGATCAGTAAGCATCGCAGAAAGGACATAACTGGTAGCTGGAGCAATAACTATTCTAAAAGGAGATAGGGGTGAGTATGGAGATGAAGGTGGGGCACCAGGCAAAATAACAGGATGGAGGACCGGACTTTAGTGGTGGGGTTCCGGAATTCCAGATCCGGAGGTACAGGATATGACAACATGACTTGATGCGACCATGTTGTTGCACGTTGATTGTTGATCGGATTGGTGCATTCAGCACATTGATTGTTGATTATCCTGATCTCTCAAGATCGCAGGTCGCACATGACTTGATGCGACTGTGTTGTTGCACGTTGATTGTTGATCAGATCAGTGCATTCAGCGCATTGATTGTTGATTGTCCTGTACACAAACATGATGCAACATTATGACTTGACGCAACCGTGTTGTTGCGCATTGATTGTTGATTGCATCCTGTACACCGTGGATGCGACGTGACATTATAAAGGATAGAAAAAAGGTGCGCTGTCCCCCCATATAAAATTCAGATCATCTCCTCCCAACATTCTACCTCCAGATCTACATCCAGAATGTCTTCCACTGCTCCTACTTGCCAAGCCCTGGGTAATATTGTGAACAATACTGATTCAGCTCCCTCTCAGCGTCAACATCGTGAATGCCGTCCTTCTGAGAAGGCTTTGTATCAAGGTAATTTTTTATGTACTACCATTTCTATCACTAACTATATTGTACCCAGTCGAGGAGGACCAAGAGTTCCATGAGGCACACCACCACCCAAGCGGTCAAGACAAAACCAAGGCCACCTGTAAAAATTGTGTCAACAGAGGTATGTTGTTTACTGTCACATCAGTGGCCTGCCAGCTAACTATGTTCAGGTACACAAGACAGCACACAGTTTTCAATGCAGGCTATCACCCAGTCCAAAGGTAGTGTAGCAGCCAATGGTCCACTAGATCTGTGGCCCCGGTTCAGCAAGGTCCCCCCATGAGCAGCTCTGTCCAGAACAGCTGGGTCTGGGGGCTGGCAGGAAGACACTCTTACAAAGGTGAGTCAGCCACATGATATAACTTCCAGTTGGACATTGATGCCTTGTTTGTAAGGAGTCCAGTTTTGTGAATGGTGAACACAGGTCCAATAGTTTCAGTGTAAGTCCCATTACCTTCACCTCAATTTTGGGGTGCTCATCATTATATTGAAGCTGCCACCTGCACCACAGAATTTGACCGACATAGACTTGACCGACAGTGAGCAGTATGATGACAATGACAACGACCCTATCAATCATGATGTGGACAAGAGTGATGTATTTACTGGTGGAGAGAATGATCTCACAGATTTGTGCCACTTGAAGTGTGTGCGGCTACCACACTCGGATGATGAGGGTTACAGCACCCAGAGTCATAAATGGATGCACAAGTCCGAAGATTCGCCTTCCCTGCAGCAAGGTGAACAGCAACTTCCATGCAAGATTCATCAGAGTAAGGGCCATGTAGCAGCCCAGGATTACGAAGTAGTAGCAGTGCAGCAACTCATCAAGTTTGTGATCAGCCATTTTTGTGTCCAGCTCGCATCTGAGTATGCCTATCCAGATCACATGACTCAAGTCTTGTGGGCAAAGGAGGCCTGGAAGGAGGCATGTAGCTCTTATGAGATTGACATGGGATTCAATGGCGAGATCATACAGATGGTACATGGTCAAGTTCTATTATTTCATCTGCCTAATTTGTTGTTCAAGATTACACACCGCACATTGCATCTCACAAGCAAGGTGAAAAGGAAGGTTTGCCCGCTTGTCAAGAACATTTATGGTTTCAAGTCCACCAATCGGGAGTCCATCAAGTCTAGGAATCGCAAACTCACCTGTCAGCTCAAGGATAAATTTGGCTTGTGTTACCAGGTGCATTAATGACACCTTGAGTCATGTTTTGTACTGATGCTTGGTTTGGAAGGACCTTGGGGACAAAAAGAACAACATCCCTCACAGTGGCCTCTTTCGGTCAAGGTTAAATCAGCAAGCGGAAAATTTACTCTGGTACTGCAACAAGAAGAATGAAGGGATTGTATTTGAGAAGTTTTTTTCGCCATTTCCAATTCCTGCCTTGGCCTTGGTGTACACCACAGTGAGTCATGCTATGGCCTGTTAGCTTCAGATGGTAATATTGTCAGCGGCAGGCCGAATGCTGCATTGATGAATGGTATGATGGCAAACGGGTGGATATCAGCTTTTCGAGCAGCGAGTATAGGGAGGCTTATGATATGCATCTCGTGAACCTCAAGAAGTTTCATACTCAAATGAAGGATCAAGGAATCCTTGATGGCATCCTGGCAGAATTCAACAACAATGGCAGGTAAGTGCATTTTGGGGGTTTGGACTTGGAAGTTTTACAATTGTAGTACAGGTTGCATGCAAAGGTGGATCCAATTAACATTGGAGACAGAGACTGCCTCTCAGACGACAAGATCAACAACATGATCCAGGAATACCAACAGGTTGGTGGCACAGATGATAGTGACAAGGTGGAGTCTGACTGGGAGTCTGAGGGTGGTCAATTTGAAGATGATGAAGTTGAGGCCAAGTATAATAACTGCTGACTAGTATTAAACCATGAATGCATGTCATTGATCTCCCTGTTATTTGCAAGTGTGCGAGTGCTATGATGTACCATGATGTGTGCTTACTGCAATGGTAAACAATAGAGTGCTACATAGCCACACTACATAGCCAAGGTAGGAGATACCAGATGCTATGTGGCACAAATAAACATATAGTCTGGGCTACATGGTACTATATTGGGGGGGAGATGCAACCAGGCTACAAGTGCTATGTAGCCTTCGTAGCGCTATATTGCAGTTCCCATTTTTCCTGATGTGATGAGGATGGCATCGCTACCACTCAGGCCCCTGTGCCCAAGGCTAGTGGAAAGGAAGGTGCAAGGATTCCTAAGACAAAGTAAGGGTGATGCACACCCTGGAGGGGGGTATGTGGTGTTGCCACAATCGAGGATTCTTTTCTATTCTATTCTATTCCATTCCTTGTGCCAACACATCAAGTCTTATCAAACTTTGACTGCCATCACACTACCCCACTACCCCTAAACATATTCAATAGGAATCTATTTGCATTGTCTGGCTCACTCTGGAATCACCTCTCTTATTGTTACGCGAAACCTCTCGGATGAGATCTGGCGGCGCTAAACCCGCAAGGGGTGTTCAAAGTGTGACTTTTGGCGCTAGCCCAGCAAGGAGCTTGCCTGCGCTAAGTCTGAGTAAGGGTTAGAGCCCTTACTTGCATAGAGTCGATTGGAGTTTCTCGAGGATATGATCCAAGAGACAGAGTTCAACTCAAGAGTATCATCTCAAGAGAAGATGGTTCTGTGTACAGAGGGAATTCTCTTAGATAAGAGAAGTTCAGACCCAACAACAAGATCAGATGAGAACCAAGTAGATTCAAGTTAGAGAATCTATCTACTGTACAAATGAGATATATATACGTAAGGGTGATATACCGGTGGAATGGTAAGGGTACAGGGTAAGCGGAGGCAATACCGAGTTAGCGGTAAGGGTCAAGGGTTGTGTGAATCATAAGTTAAAAGGGGTAAGAAGTACCGGTTGAGTGGTAAGGGCAAAGGGCATGGGGAATCCCCATCAAGGAGAGAACCGAAACAAGGGGAAGGGCATAGGGTTCGGTAGAAGCCGTGGCTTCTGTGATCTAGGGGAAGAAGCGAGAGCTTCTCGCGTTTCAGAACAACAGGATCAAAAGAAGAGATGAAAATAGAATAGTCATAACCATGGTCCAGGTCTAGACAAGTCTGAAGAATGAAATGACGTGTAACGCTCATGTTACTGTAACACTTATCATCAACTCGCAAACCATGGATTGCTTTTACCATCTAGTACGCCACAACCTTCCACAACTTTCAAAAGGTTCCCTGTGTGTGCATAAACGAAGAATGCTTGTAGTATGGTGCTTCTTCATGATGGAAGTACCACAGCAGCTGCATGTCATGAATGTTACCAACTGCATCTAAAATTCGATTATCGAACCCTAAGTCACCTTATCCGATAAGATTAGATAGATCCCTGATAAGATAAGATGGATAACCGATTAACGATCACTATCTTTACATCACATCTATACTATATCGACGTCATCCATCCTTATCTGTAACCCTAGACATACGAACTCATCACATCCTTAGAAGTCCTACGATTAGGCAACGGGTTACATCATAAGCATCTATACGCCTCTATAATCGAACCATAACCGAGAGTCCTTTACAAAGGCTACCTCTCGAAGAGTCATCACCCTTTCACATCGCAGACCTTCACATCTTCACACATGACATGTTAAGAGTTACCTCTGTCATTCACCGAACCCCTTACATTAGAACCTGTTGCACAGTCACAGCTAAACCCTGAACCCCTATCACAGAAGCATCGCTCATAGAGAAGCATGTTTCATTACCGAAGACCCTGGAGAATCCCTAAGATACAATCGCACCCGATACATCTCCAGATCCAGATCCTATCTAGATCCTCAGATCTAGATCCCAAGATCCATCTCTTATCGAGATCCTTAATTACCGCTCGAGACTTCTTGTCACAGAACTCTCTCACACCCTTCTTAATCTCCGTCTACCCTGAATAGAAGCAGTCCCTGAGAACCCTGCTTAATTACCGATACCCTTGGCCCTATGAACCCTTTACCCTTCTCTTCTTGTAGTTGATTGGTTGATAAGACGCCCTATACCCTAGGTGCAATGTTATGACCGTATATAGTTATATCACATACCTTTCATACTCAGATAGCTCCGCCCCAATAGTAGTATATAGTCTAGGTAGTAGTCAGTAGTACTCCTTAGACTTAACCTCCTCGTTTCTACGTTATCGTAGGGCCTAGACGTTCCCTCTCAATCCTACCCTTGTTTTATCCTCTTCAGACTGAGTCCTGTGGTGTGATTCCAACTCCAGACACCTACTAGTTAGGTTAAGGGACGTGGGTCATAACATTAGGTTAAGTCTTCTTTACCACCCGACTCGATTGTGTTCGCCCTCTTGTACTCCAACCTTCGGGCGACTATCAGACGACGCTCCTATCATATCATATCATTCATCCTTTCCACGCACGATTCTATTTGTCCTTCGACACTCGTATACTCCATCCTCGCAAGAGACGACGATCCGACTTTCGAACGGCACTTGTGTCGATAACCTTCCTCCCAGAACATCGGCTGTTCTGCTGAGCTTAGTCTCGCGGATCACGTTTTTAAACCATCTTTCCCAGACCGCAGCCCCGCACTTCTTTTGTGCACATTCCCTCCCCTAGTTAGTAGAAGTAGACCAGGCCCTGCCTTACTGCAGCCGCCAGTCTATAAGGAACAGTGACATATAGGTCCTGTATCCGTCGCCTTGAGTGCTGGCCCAATACCTGCCTGCTCAACGCTATATCCTAGAATCCCTTCGTAGAATTAGAGAACGGCACTCGCGAGTGTAGTAACAGTATTGCGTTGGTTCTCACGCATATTGTTTACCGCATTCTAGTATAAATTACCGTAGCCTTTTACCTTAGAACCTAGTTGGCCAAGAAGCCGGCAACTACGTTACTATACGGGCTTAGGTCGCCTCTCTATCACCATCTTCCTTTTTCGGTCATATCTTACGAGATCCCTGACAAATCAAAAATATACTCTGTTGAATAGGATTCCGGAACGCAGCCGGCAACATGAGATATTCCGCCCCTACCGTTGATGACTATGAAGAGCTAGCTTCTCAGATCCAAGAAGGCTTTTGCTTTAATACGCATCACGCAAAGGGACCCCAAATCACACACTGGATTGGTGTAGAATTTGAAGATGGAGAAATCTCCTTCCAAAGCCTTTGCAAGAATTGCGCTAAGGCAAACAAAAAGACTGTAGACACGTTCCGAATTAGGTGTAGAGGCGCAATGGCTGAATTGCCATCCCTCGCTATCCGAACCGCATACGTCGACACACTCCCATCGTCACCCTGCTACACTCCATCATCATCGCCCACATCATCTTCTTCATCATCACCGTTACTGTCATCGAGAGAAATGACAACCCAGTGGCCCAAGATTGCCAACGTACAAAATCCCGAGCCCAAGGTTGCTCCAAAACCCGTAGTAGTCGCGCAGTCCGTAGGACAGAAGATACGCGACGAGCCGAAAGGCAAAGGGAAAGAAACCCTTAAAGAAAATATCAGGATGTCGTCGGGTTCCTCTAAACCTAAGGAGTTGACTGGTACTCAGAAACCAGAGAAAGTAGCACCAATTGAAATCAAGAAAGAAACCTTCGCGGAAGAAATCTTGAGATTAAAAAGAGGCTACGGAATCAAGGACAAGACCACTGAAGCGACTAAAGTAGAAGTCGTGGAAGTGGAAGTCGTTGAAGTAAAAGCAGTAGTCCCTGCTAAACAAAAAGACGAGAAATCGGAGACAACCGATGAAACAAACAAAGGACCAGTCGAGTCTGGTTTATCAAAATCACAAATCAAGAGACAGAAACAAAAAGAAGCTAGATTAGCAAGGGCTTCTTTAGTGAAAGTCTCAGAGCAGAAACCTACTGCCGAAACAAATAAGGTAAAGGAGCAGATCCTCACTGCTTTACCAAATGAGAAGACGGAGCATGAAACCATAGAGAAGGTTGCAAAACCTATCGAAGAGTCGTTGTCCGACCTAGATAAAATAATCGCAGAAAACATGCTAAAACGCGCTATGGAAACACTAGAGGCGCTGAGAGTTGCCGAACGCCGAAAGGCCGAAGAAGCAACAGAGATACTCCAACAGATCAAGGAGATCTCAGAAGTTGTTATGCCACCAACGATAGAAAAGGCAATGGGTGCAGTCCGTAGGACAGAAGAGGCACCAGAGATACCGGTTGAAAGTCCGAGGACCCCAAACATCTTATACCGTTCCCCACGACGAAAGTCCGAGCCATATCCAGAAGGCGAAGACGAAGTCCCAGAGAGCTACAAAAGAACCGAAGACAGAGATCGTCCAGAAGACCAGGAATGGAATCACCTGGCAGTAATAATCCATCCCACAAAGAGCAAGAATGCTTGTGGCGCAATAGAGGAAGACTGCAGAAAATTCCTAGTCAACGATGTAGACCATTACATCCTATACGACGATAAGGATGAATCATACCGCCTTAAGCAAAAAAGGAAGTTCGAGGTAGATTCATGGTTCACAACGGCTTATGGCCGCCTAATCGCTCAAATGGACGAGTGGAACGATGCCCCATGTACATGGGATGAAATAGAGGTAGAGATGCCTCTCCAAAGAACCATCTATGAGAAGAAAGAGGAGCTAGCCGAAGTAAAGGCTGGTAAATCAAGGGAAGAACCAATGGAGGAGATAACGACCGCTGGTGTTGAAGAATATGTGATCAAAGTCACTTCTTCACCATGTCCGATCCCCAAAGTGTTCCTACCAAGACATAGGTCCTCTGAGAAAACTCAGAAGTCGCCAAACGAGGCGCAAAAACCGGTTAAGCCACCGGTAGAGAAAAAGGCAATTCCCATTCCTAGGGCTAGTAAGCCGAGAACAGAAAAGAAGGAGAAGACCCCAGTCACAGTCTTCAAATTCAAATCCAGAACCCCATGTAGAAACGGCCCGAAGTGCCGATATGGTTCTCTTTGTGCATTCGCACATCCCGAAAGGAGTAGTCCCTCCTTTAAATCAAAAGACAAGATCGGTGTAAGCCCACCAAAACCAAAGGCAGTTCCGTTTGCGAAACCAAAGATAGTAGAAAAGAACGTAGACCGTAGGTCAGAAGAAACGTTCTCTATCAAAGGGTTCTCTATCAAGGGAGCAGCAGAACGAGAACGCAGAAGGAAAACTGCAAAAGAAACCAAAGTAAACTCAAGGAAAGAGATTGAGGAAATAACGCTAGAAGGTCTAGAAGCGTTATTGAAAAAGCTTATCGCAGAGAAGGCGAAGCAACCCTCAAAGGAATCTACGAGTAAGGGTAGTTCTCCCCCTAAACAAAGGAGTGAAACACCGAAACCGAGTATCGAGAAAAAGCAATATGCTATAGAATGTAAGACCCAAGCGAAGGGCATTCAAGCTACGCTTATCGAGAGAAAGGAAGACGGGAAAAGGCAGTCGATTGCCATGTTTACGAAACCAATGACCGACAACGAAGTCAACTACTCAGCAGAAGACAAAGATTTGCTCTTGATATATAGAACCCTGCAAGAGTGGAAGCACATAGTTGAAAAGTCACCCCTACCAGTGGAAGTCATTCTAGACTCACGAAACCTGGAAAAAATAGACAAATTGCACACATTGACTAGACGTCAAGCTAGATGGTGTTTATTCCTAGCGCAATTTAATATCATATGTCTATCCAGGAGGCTAGACCTCAAAGGGGGGGTAAAATCCCATATCGTATCAGAAAACTCGAACAATTTCCTTATGAATCCCACTTTCTTCAAAGATCACGCAGCGAAACGAGGCCATACTCTAGTCCATAAGATAGAAAAGACGCTCTTGCTAGTTATCGCAGAGTGCAAGGACAAAGACGCCGAAGTAGCTAAAGTGATCAAAGAAAAGAAACTCGAGAATGTCCGACTAAGAAAGGGACTTGAAGAGTGGAATTCAGAAGAAAATCTCATCCTCCACAGAGGACTGGTATATGTACCAAAAAGAACGGAGATACGCCACAGTCTATTGGATTTGTACAAAGGTTCCGCCCTTGGTCCTCTAAAGAACTTGTTGGAAAAGGTATCGCAGAACTATTGGTGGCCAGGCATGGCGCATGAAATTAACGCCTATGAAAAGAAAGACAAGGTTGACGAACCGCTTAGCGCTGTATTCGCACCTAAAACAAGTCTTCAGAAACGGGTTAGATTCCAGGAACCAAAAGACGCACCAAAGAAACTCTGGCAAGCCGCAGATTCCGCGCACCATGACAACGTCTTTACTCCTCAAATAATCCCCAACGCCGCACCAATACCCTCCGCACCATCCGTTCCCAAGGTGATCTTAAGTAGAGAAAGAAAACCAGAACCGCAGTCACAATCCCCAAGTAGAATGTCCAAGGATCAGAAGCTATCGCCGAAAAGAGAGACATCATGGAATGAAAAGAGAACAGCGTTGAGAGAAGAAAAATTATACGAAGGTTTCCTTAAATGGAAAAAAGAAATCTCACGCTCAATCTAGACAACCATATCGATTCGCGAGGACGCTCATCCTTAAAATGGGGGTAATGTCATGAATGTTACCAACTGCATCTAAAATTCGATTATCGAACCCTAAGTCACCTTATCCGATAAGATTAGATAGATCCCTGATAAGATAAGATGGATAACCGATTAACGATCACTATCTTTACATCACATCTATACTATATCGACGTCATCCATCCTTATCTGTAACCCTAGACATACGAACTCATCACATCCTTAGAAGTCCTACGATTAGGCAACGGGTTACATCATAAGCATCTATACGCCTCTATAATCGAACCATAACCGAGAGTCCTTTACAAAGGCTACCTCTCGAAGAGTCATCACCCTTTCACATCGCAGACCTTCACATCTTCACACATGACATGTTAAGAGTTACCTCTGTCATTCACCGAACCCCTTACATTAGAACCTGTTGCACAGTCACAGCTAAACCCTGAACCCCTATCACAGAAGCATCGCTCATAGAGAAGCATGTTTCATTACCGAAGACCCTGGAGAATCCCTAAGATACAATCGCACCCGATACATCTCCAGATCCAGATCCTATCTAGATCCTCAGATCTAGATCCCAAGATCCATCTCTTATCGAGATCCTTAATTACCGCTCGAGACTTCTTGTCACAGAACTCTCTCACACCCTTCTTAATCTCCGTCTACCCTGAATAGAAGCAGTCCCTGAGAACCCTGCTTAATTACCGATACCCTTGGCCCTATGAACCCTTTACCCTTCTCTTCTTGTAGTTGATTGGTTGATAAGACGCCCTATACCCTAGGTGCAATGTTATGACCGTATATAGTTATATCACATACCTTTCATACTCAGATAGCTCCGCCCCAATAGTAGTATATAGTCTAGGTAGTAGTCAGTAGTACTCCTTAGACTTAACCTCCTCGTTTCTACGTTATCGTAGGGCCTAGACGTTCCCTCTCAATCCTACCCTTGTTTTATCCTCTTCAGACTGAGTCCTGTGGTGTGATTCCAACTCCAGACACCTACTAGTTAGGTTAAGGGACGTGGGTCATAACACTGCATAAGTAGTAATCATTGATCTCACTGCCATCTCTAGAAAAATCCTGGTATCACATCGACAAATGTTCCTCGGAAGTAAAACTGAGGAATATTAATGGCTCGCAACTTCCATTCAGCAATGTTACAAGGATACTAGATAGGCCAATGTAAGTAATTCCCCATCCTGATTCAAAATCGATGTACCGCTGATTCTTGACTTTTAGGGTTGGAGCCCTCAGCCGATCGCCTACCAGCACTTCCGCCTGCTATGAAATGTGCAAGTACTGGTTTACAACATTCAGACTCCAAGGCAGCAGGAAATTTGCGACAAGGCTATTTCTTGGCTTTTTTTCTGAGCGTTTTCTCGCTCACATTGTAATATTGTAGCATGGAGGCAGTACCGACATATCATCGGAGCCCACCGTCACGGTAATATCCGTGCCATCTCATTGAATGACGCTCAGCATTGATGAACGAGAATGGAAGGGTCTCGGCCCAGTGTCCGATTCAATCGAGTGTCATCATAATATTTAACGGGCCCGAGATCGTCGATATATAAATTGTCCCAACCGTTTATGTACGCAGGAGCGATAGATATCGTGGTATTGATGCTAGTTCAATGCGAGTGATGACAATGGAATGAAAAAAGAAATCATGAGAAAGGAAGAAAAAAAAGTCAAAAATGAAATGAAAAAACTAATGCAAAATCCACTTTTATCTCTACGTACTCCAGGCAAATGCATCAGCGTCTTCAACCAAAAAGAAGAAAAAAAGTTCGAGCGCCATCATGGAATTAAAAAAAAAAGTCAGTGTACCAACGAGCGACTAGGCAAAACTGTAAACATCTCCATAAATATGCAAATCAAAAATCAAACATGAACGTCCCGTCATAAGTAGCAATGTCATCGAGAGCTCTTCCAGCTCGAAGGTGGAGCTGCTTTTCGTCCAGGAGTCCGACCAGGCGTCGAAGGCTGTAAATTCGAGGGCTGAGACGCACCCGTCTTGGCGCGCGGCCTAGGACCTCCTCCATACGCACTCATAGAACTGTTCGGGACAGGGGGGATATAATTTGAACGCGAGTTCAAGGATGGACCGAAAGACTCCCCATACACACTCCTCGCACCACCTCCAAACTCACTCTGCGTACCGCTGATCCGACCGGGGAACATCATGGAGCCTGTGGACCACTGGTTCGGCATCATAGGAGGCATCCCCATCCCAGGGACGCTAAGCATACCCACCCCGCTGCTTCCTCCCATGCCGCTGTACACGCTACCTCCACCGCCTCCATATACGGACCCACCGCCGATATTGGAGCCTCGTTCCCACTCATCTCCAGCCATTGCCATGGCATGTTGTGCGACTGCCATTTGGTACGCTTGCTTGGCGATCATCATTGCGTGCTGGTGGGCAGCGAGGAAACTCTGGTCGGGACCGAATTGAGGAGCAATCATAGGGGCCATACCCGTGACTATGGGCTGCTGCTGCCACGACCCCCAAGTAGGAGCGTTCATCACAGGCATCGTGCCGTCCATGCCCATCATAGGATTGATGCTCATACGTTGCTGTCCATGCTGCAGCACAAGATCGTCGTCAGAACCATTATGCACGATGGGCCCACGGCTATTAACAAGTTTCCCGAGCTACAACCAATCAAAATTACGACGAGAACACCAATCGGAAAAAACGAAAACACAAACCTCAATAGCAGCCTTGGCTTCGTTCCGCCTCCTCTCATTCCGCCTCACCTCATCATCACCGTCATTCTTCGCCCTCTCCCTCCCACGCGGTGAACTATCCTCAAAGCTCACAGTCGACCGTTTTCCATTTGCACCGCGTGCCTTGAGCGTCGAGTCCGGATCGCTCACATCCCTTCGTCCAGTCTGCACCCCAATATCGCTACCATCACGAGGAGTGAACGGCGCACCACGCCCGCTGCTCGAGTCACCTGTTGAGCTGCCGGCGGGACTCTCGCCTCGCATAGAGCTATTGCTCGCGAACGGCCGAGAGGGCATCAACGACTGCGACTGCACTCTGGATGACTGTGCTGGAGGTATGACAGGCCTTGAGGAAGGAGCAAGCGAGACAAGCGTGCCTGAGGTTGGTCGAGACATTCTGTTATCCACCACACTTTGCGTCGAAGGAACGCGTGTCTTGTATAAATCCTTCGAAGACCCCCAACTGGCTTTCACGGAAGGTGACTCAGGCACAGCGGCGATGAGAGGGACAGATGGGATACGAGAGGAGCGGGAGGACTGAGAAGTCGAGACCACGGATGATGAATCTGACTTGTCGACTGATGGTACATTTGACTGCTGAGCTAGGATAGCTGCCCGAGAACGAGGAGCGAATGAGGACTTGGCAGGAGAAGGTGATCTTTTTGGAGAAGAAGACCTTTTGGAGACAGCGGAAAACGTTGCCGTCGGCGAGGCTGGTGATGGTACCTGAGATATATCTGTGCTGTATCGGCGCGGTGGACGTGAGGTGACACTGAAAGATGCCGGTGGTTTATACTCTCGAACGGGCGTCGGCACAATGCGGTCGTCTCGAGGAGACTCTACCTTGTCAGTAGAGCTTGCTACACGTTCCACAGCAGGTAGCGGAGCGGTGTTCAGGGGTGGCACCTGTTGGGAAGGTCGCGCAGGCGATGGTGAGGCGTCCCGTGATTTATCAAAGGAAGTAACAAGTCTGATGGCGTCCATCAAATCGTCGTCAACCTCGACCGGTGATCCAGCGGATACTCGAGAAACAGGCGCAACCTCACTACTCGACTTGTTATGCTGAGGAGGAGAGGGAATCCTAGGAGCTGTGCCTGCGGGTGACCGGGGAGAGATCGGAGCGGGACTCTCGGACATACGGCTCGGCGTTAAGCTAATAACAGGGGGAGGAGCAAAGGGCTCGTCCTTGTCCACCTCGCGTTCCTTACCCTTTCTAGATGGTAATTTGACCGAATCTTCATGCCTCAAGACAGGCGTAAGCACCGGGGGACTTCCTACAAGTGATTTGATATCAATCAGGGGCTTGGCAGGCATGCGAAGTCGTGAGGCAGCAGATCTGTTGGTAGCCACCGAGGCAGAACTTCCCGGTCTGCGCGGCGCAACAAGCGCAGACAAAGGCATGTCTTCAGAGTCATTATCGGAATCTGACGAAGTATCAGAATCGTCATTCTTCGCCACTCTTGATCCCAAAGGCGACGACAAAGGTTTCTCTGAAGCTAAACAGTATGTCAGGAACAAAAAAACGTTTGATTAATAACCTGAAAAGTTACCTGATGATGTAGAAGACGAGTTCGCAGCAGCTAAAATTGACGCACGACGGGCAGCAGCATTCGGGGTGAGAGCGCTAGTGGAAGCAGATGCTCTAGCTCGTACGGCAGTGGGGCTTTCAGGCTGCCGTAACTGCACATTGTCCAATTTTGACCATCTCGGAGGTTCTGGCACTTGAGTCTGAACACTCGGCGCAGGAGAATGGCCTGCATCAGACCGCGAGCGCACACCAGGACGACCCCTCACGGTGCGCTTGCGGCTCGGCTTGATAGGCACGCCATCGCTATCCACTTCTTCATCATCTTCATCCTCAGATTCATCTGACTCGGAAGTGTCCACGACGGACGAATTTCGGTTAATCAAGATGGACAACGGAGGCGCTGTCGAGTTACGATGTACACTTGCACTAGGTATTGAAACTGTGGATGCGCGTTGTCTGGAATTATTTTCAACGCGAAGGGTATCGAGGGCAGAAGGGGGTCGGAATGAAGGTACGGGTGAATTTGCACGACTCCTGCGAGCCTGGGCTTCGCGAAATGCAGCAACAGATATCCTCTGTGAGGAATTCGAAGCAACGCTGTCTCCGCGTGGGCGCGGCCGGGCAGGAGGAAGGGGGAGGTCGGCATCGGAATTATCAACTGGAGGAGCAGGGGAGTCGGAACGAACGTGGCGGAAAGCTTTCAAGTTAAAATTATCCCTTGATGGGCTTGGAACGGGAGTTGTAGCGATAGTCGCTGGGGGCGGGGCAGGTTTCGATTTAGTACGCTCTCTAGCCCAAGAGAACAATCCTCCAGATTTTTTTAAATTGGGTGTCGTGGCCAGCGATGATGGGGGTGCGCTGTGTACCTCGTTCCGTGCGAGAACGCTAGGGGTATTTAGGCGAGATTGATTGCGCGTGGTTTGATTGGGAAGGGAGTGTGTGGAATTAACGTTTGGATCATGATAGACACCAAAGATGGACGGTTTTGAGGGAGGGGGAGGGAGGTTGTGGCCTGAATCAGAGACGATGCCAGATATACGGGGGTGTGGCGGTTCATCGTTGAGAGAAACGACGGGTAATAAGGTGGTGCCTGTTGTGGCATGTGGCTGATGGACGTGGTGTTTCCGACGGAAAGGTAGTTTGAGCTTGCTCGATGATGCCACTGTTGGACCGGCATAAACAGTCGCCGGTAGAGCCTTTAAAGATTTGTCTGGAAAAACATAATCTGGTTCTGAAGAAACTACGGTGCTAGCGATGGAGGCCGCAGAAGTCGCAGTCGTTGGTACGTTTAAATTTGGTGGTGCGCTACGAGGACCAGTTTGCCTATCACGTTTAGCAAATATTCCGGCAAGCAATGGCATGAAGAAGGTCAGCAGAAAGGTAGCAGGTGAATGAAAGTGAAAACAAGAAATGAAAGGTAGACTGACGTTCGCGATGCCCGGTATGATGTCTTACAGGGTTTGTTTGTCTTTGTTTATTAGTGTCCCCATTAAGATTTGGACAAAGAACCGAGTTCGATAGGAACGTTGACCAGCAGGGTCAGCACAGGCTATCACTTCCTACCGTTTAAGCCGATTGGGCTTAGACTTATCGCTTTGCAAATTACAAGTACACATGATCATAAGTTTCATTGAAATCACTTCACGCCTCAAAGTTTACAACCAAAAATAGAACCTGCCCTTCTTCTGCTCTGTACTCTCATGCCAACTTACCCAAGGAAGCCCAGCAGATCCTCCCCGGCCACTCGTCCCCGCATTCATTCTAATAGCACTTTTGATTCACCTTCTATACTCAGCCGCGGCAGAAGAGAACACGAGAAGTCAACGCGAAGTAAACTTTTTTAATACAACTCGCGATTAGAGCTTTGGATCGTGACACGTTCTAGCCGATGTTTCCCATGCCGGTCAACCTATTTTTGCACTAGCGAGCACAATGGGCTGCTCCCGTGCTCATATGACAGTACTTTGTATTTGCATCGTAAGATAAGTTTCACGTCTGCATGCATCATCGTGGCCCTGTCAAACGTGGCCCTGCCTTAGACTCACGAAAAGTACATGGCAGGAACTCAAAACCCTTGTATGACAGCACTTTCTTTTCCGTCGTAAGATTCTCTTTCACGTTTGTACGGGCTGACTTTCATCAGTGCCTCGCGAAAAGCGCATGGCAGGCCAAGTGTAATAATCCTTCCAATCTGCTATACCGTTGTACATTTGATTTCCCCATAACATAACCAGACGATCTCTTTCATAATCCCTTCATATACAGCTCAAATGATTGCCTCTTGTCTAGTATCTGTTCCCCGAACAATGACTTCGCACCCGTCTACCCATCACGTACGACTCCATCAATTTTTACCCGTGAGACACGGTCGGTAATTACGCATGCCATTAAAAAAACACGAGGTACTCACGTGCAGACTCGACCCACCACGCTCGTCATGGTAGAATGCCCAATCTTCTTCCCGTCCTTAAACACCATATAGGTAGGGACCTACAACATCACCATCAATCGGCTACAAAAGCATCATGTTAAATACACATGCAGCGCGCACATAGGCCAGTTCATGCACATTCACACGATAGACAGGTTTAGTAGTAGTCATTCCAATCTGTTATTCCGTTATACATTTGATTTCCCCATATCATAACCATACGATCCCTTCTATAATCCCTTCTCTGATCAATCGATTGCCTCTTGTCTCGTAGTCTCCCCCTAAGCAACGACTCCTGTCCATCCCGTCACATACGACCCCATCAATTTCTACCCACAAGGAACCGTCGGTAACGCGCATGCCATCAAACAAAACACGAGGTACTCACGTTTAGACTCAACCCATCGCCCGTCGCATGCCCAACCTTCTTCCCATCCTTGAACACCATATACGTAGGAACCTACAACATCACCATTCGGTCTCAGTTAACCCCACAAAAGCATGTCAAAACACATACAACGCGCACATCAGCCTCCAGCACCACATCCTCTAGTTCATCCACATTCACGCGATAGAAATCCACGCCGATGCGGACGAACGTGTCGCTGAGCTCGGAAAACTGTTGAGAGGTCGACCGGCACCATCCGCTCCAGTCTGCGTGGAAGTCTATCACTACTGTCTTCCCGCTGTTGATCTGGGAGGGGCGGCGTGCACGACTATGAGCGGGACGTTCTGGTCATGCATTGAATTGGCACTCACGATCCTAGTAAAGTCCTGAGCATCGCCGATGGGGTTGAAAGGCATTGCGACCTTGCTTCACTCTCAGGAGATCTGTGTCTATATAGTATAATGTGGGGGTGAAACTCAAAACAAGGGTGACAGAACTTGACGTGAAAACAAAGGGCGTTGAAGCACAAAGAGGATGTCAGAGCCTGAGTATGTCTATGTCAAGTGATTCGAATGAATGCCGTGATGCAATTCATTTCAGTTATCCATGACGTCGTGTGGCTGACGGGACTTGCTCGTCCTTCTGGGCTCGCAGCGAAACGCAGAAATAAGTGAATCAATATTAATCTCACTAATCTATTGTGATATGATAATGAATCAGGTATCACTTCCTCTATTCCAAAGCCTGGACCTGCGAAACAAAAGCCTGCAAAACCTCTCAGTATAGCACAATGGCAAAAACGCCTGGACCATGAAATATGACACGCACAACAAGATTTACTTGAGCCCCCTTCTGAGACTCGATCTTCTTGCCATCTCTCAGGGCCACAAAGTGCGGTATCTGATCAAAATACAAGGTGATAGTGAGCATCCATTGTACTACCCCAGTCATCTGTCAGACAAATACTACTCACAGACACTATCTTCAGCTCGTTCGCAACCGGACCCGTCCAATGATCCGCTTCTTCCATCTTAAGTTCGACTTTCGCGAAGACGAGATTGTCGTTTGTGTTATCTTCGGCGAGTTTTGCGAATCGGGGGGCTATGGCTTTGCAGGGCATACACCAGTCCGCCCAGAAATCGATGATGGTGGTCTTTCCTGGGCTATTGATCTGTGCGATCGGGATGGATGTTAGTCGTATGCGTATAGATGTGCGTGTAATGAGAGCCTACGAGTTCTTGGTACTGCTCGGCAGTTTCGATCACGGTGATTGAATCGTTTGCCATATTCTTGACGATGATTAGGGAGTCTGAGAACGTTGAAATTTGGTGGGATGTTCCTTGACAAGTTTTGAACGCGACCTTTTATACTACTGCAGTATCATGAGATATCATCAATGATTGCTCACGCTGACTCGACCAATTAATCAGCTTGGATATCCGGGTAGTGAACTTCTCGGGATCACATAACCGAGCCTTGGGGACGATGCTATGGATGAGTTGATCATTACTAATGGTATTATCTGGTATTATATCCAAGCTGAATCGACTGCTCCAGCAAAAGTGTAAGGCATTTGGATCTCTTGAAAGATCTGAATTCGAGCAAACTATTACTTAGAGTTGATTGGTTCAAATCGTCCAAGTGAGTTCAGCTCCTTTGGAAGGGTTCACACCGGGTCGATTTGAATCCTGAGTATATAAGACTCTACAAGTAGAAAGTCGCATGTGGGTGGCACCGTGATGAGGAAAGAGGCTTGGTTATCGCTTGGCTACGATATATATTTCCTTTTAGGTAGAATAGTGTTCATGCCCTCGATTGCTATGTTCCACATCATGATCGTTGAAGAGGTACCGTTCCGCAGCCAGTACTTGCAGTGCCTAAATTCTTGTTCGTGTCGTCGAGATTCAATGCAAACTTGAAGTCGGCTTATGGGTTCAGGTAATCGGCTTTGATCTTGTCGCCAAGGGCCTACCTGGCAATAGTAGTCTCTCACTATGACAGAAGGAAGACAGTCGTTCCTTCAAGCTAGCAATGGCGCCCGACTTCTTTTCAAAGCTTGTGAAGCCTACGCCCCATTCTCCGGGTGGAAGTGGTAGTAGAGAGAACACTACCGCTTCACCGAGTCCATCCGGCACGTATACTAGTACAACGTAGAAGGAACAACTGTCTTCCTTCTATTATGGTCCGACTAGGGGAGACTAAGTACAACGCGTTTACACTCGCAATCAATATCACACCCTCGTTCAACTCGTACAGGCGCCCTCAGCCCTGACAACTCCAGCGATAAAGGCAGAGTAAATATTAGCATAATCTCCCCTGACGCCAAACCCATTCAAGCCGTACCCAGCTCAGGCGAGAAGAAAGGCTGACATCGTCTATTCATAGCTGCGCCCACTCGCAAACCTTCTGGTATAGCTATGACAAACGCTGTTTCTCAAATACCTCCAGTCCCTACCTCAATGCCATCTATGCCAAGCTCTGTCAATGCCAGTACTTGCACGAGGCAGGTCTCATAGTCGAAGTGACTTTTCCGACGGTCAGACAGATACCTTTGCTTCTAGCGAAGAGAGTGGGGTGTTAGACGACGGACTTGACATCAAGTCGACATCAAGGAGGAAATTCCCGTCACGGGTTTCGCCGTTGCGACTCGGAGTAACAAACGTAATGCAGATTTCGATGAGCTTAGCATCCCCGAAGGGACTATCTCCTTGAAGGTTAGTCATTTCGTCTCAAACTAGTACTGTCAATGTCTACTTCATATTTGCACTACAGCGCGAGATCCTCATACAAGGTCGAATATATATCTCGAAGAGTCAATTCACATACGTTTTCACGCCAACATTTACGGCTGGATCACTGACATACAATCAATGCGCTTCTTCATGCTCGCAGACTGATCATACTTTCACAGCTTTCAATCCCAAATCACGAAATAACTGCTCTCGGAAAGGAGACGACAGCCTTCATCATCCATAACGCCATCCAAATAACCACCCGACAGGCAAAATATACCTTCACCTCGTTCCTCTCCCGGAGCACGACGTATGACATCATCGCAAACATCTGGAGACTCGCCCGTCTTGAGGACACTTCCGCCGATACCTTCGCCAGCTCGTCTGGCCATATGATATCCCCCTCTAGCACTTCTGATATTTCAGGTCCCGTAACTATGAGCGAAGGCAAAGAAGCAGCTCCTGTGACTCGCGCCAACAAAGTCACCCATTGCGCGTGCTCGAAAAATGGGGAACATCTTAATGAGATTGCGCTTGAAACTGTGTTGCCCGGCATCCCGGATAAGATTTACAATTTAATGTTTGGCAAGAGGTTCATCAAGGATTTCATGCGAGTGGATAAGAAACTAATGGGTGGGCGGCCTTTCATCTTATTGAATCAGCGCTAACTCCCCATCTACATAGACGTGCAAATATCGGATTGGATCAACGACAATTCAAAGCTTTTGGCGCGGAACATGTCGTATATCAAGCCTCTGAATAATAACGTTGTCCCGAAGCACACAAAGTGCGAGATCCACGATGAAGCTTTAACGCGCGACTTTGATGACCACGTCGTTATGCTGACGATGATGAGGACGCCTGATGTGCCTAGCGGGGGCGTGTTCTCCGTGGAGACGAAGACATGCACAATGTGGGCGAGTGCTATTTCCACACGGGTGATCGTCACCACTTAAGTAGAGCCGACTGGGAGAAGTTTCGCCAGAGGTTACTTATGCTCATACTCACGCCATGCAAGGCCTCATCGAAAAATCAGCAATCGACTACCGAAAAGTATACTACTCAGACCTCAACAAAGCCATGCGGATGTACATCCAGGACCACCAATCTGAATCCATCCCAGCAGGTATAGATACGCTCGGACATTGCGCATGTTCGAAGAACGGGGAGCATCTTGATGAGATAGTGCTGGAAACTGTGTTGCCTGAGATGCCGGACAAGATTTATCACTTGATGTTTGCGAGCGGGTTTATCGAGGATTTCATGCACTGGCAGGTGGATCAGAATCTCATGGGTAAATGACATGTCACTCTGCTGGGGGTCTCTACTGACCCTCACCGTCTAGCTGTGCAGATATCAGATTGGACTCCTATCGGCGATGATTCAAAGCGTTTGGCGCAGCATATGTCGTATATCGAGCCCCTGAATAATGCCGTAGGCCCAAAGTAAAGTGCGAGATTCACGATGAAACCTTGACCTGCGACTTTGACGACCACATCGTTATGTTAATGACGACGAGGATACCTGACGTGGCCAGCGGCCGCGCGTTCTCCGTGAAGGCGAAGACATGTATAATGCGGGCAAGCGCAATTTCCACGAGAGTGATCGTCACTGTGTAGGCGGAATTGACTGGGAGCAGTTTCATCGAAAGTGCGCTGTTCTCTACTCTTCACGGAGTCTTATGCTTATGATATGGTGTCACACGCAAGGTCTCATCGAAAAATCTGCAATCAGCGGCCAAAGAGTGTACCACTTTGACCTCGGTAAAGCCATGCGAATGTACATTCAAGAACTCCAATCCCAATTCACACCAGCAGGCATAGACCCAACAGCCGCAGCCCTCGTCGAGCCCCTCAGCCCCCTCGTCGAACTCAATTCACCCACACTCGATCGGTCTACGTTAGGACATTGCGCTTGTTCGAAAAACGGGGAGCATCTTAATGAGACACTATCAATGACCCAGTAATGCAAATCGATTTGCACATGTGTTTCACTGCTCAACAATGATACGAAAAGCTTCAAAAAGTAGTGCAACTTGTAGCTAGAAGCCTATAGAACCACATACAAACATCTGTGTTTTGGGCTCCGTCGTTTCTGGCGAAGAGACCAGGATGAGGAGGGAGCTCAGAACACAATACCATCAGACAGACCTTCTCAAGGTTTGGCGGTGGCAATGGACAGATTTACACAGAGATAGATTGACCGATGACCGGTGTGTGCCGAGGGACGAAGTCAAGGACTCCATCCCAAGGCACGGAAAGACATGCCAACCTGATGACAACGGAAGAAAACTCCACACTAAAGACGAAAGACTGAGTACGAGAAAAAAAGAGCAAGAAACCAAGCGAGGGGGACCGACAGAAATACAACAGCAAGCTACATGACTGGAATTCATGGTGTTTTACTTAAATCGTCCAAGAAAATCAACTGCCCGCGAAAGAGAACGCTCGCGGCAGCGAGACCTCTTGGATGATCTGGATTCGAGAAAACTGCTGGAGTAGATGAGTTGATTGGTTCAAAATTCAAATCGTCCAAGCGAGTTCAGCTCCTTTAGCTAGTACGGAAAGGTGTGCTATCCACACACTTGGACAATTTGAATCAGAGAAAACTGCTGGAGTATACAGGAAGTACAAAGTAAGCAAATCGCATGTGGGTGGCACCGTGGTTTATATATTATATGAGAAAACCATCATCACCGTGAAATAGAAAGAGAGAATCGCTGGTCAAGAAAAAGGTTTCGCTTGGCTATATATATGTTGCCTTTTTAGGTACTTATACCCTCGGATTAATATTGCTGTATTCTTCGGACGGCGTTGAAGAGGTCCCGTTCCGCACCCAGTGCAGCGCCTAAATTCTTGTTCGTGTCGTCGACATTCAATGCAAAGTCGGCTTGTGGGTCCAGGTAACCGGCTTTGATCTCGTCGCGTCGCCAAGGGCCTAGCTAGCAATAATCTCACCTAGGCAGATAACAGAAGGAAGACAGCCCTTCCTTCTACCAGGTTGGCAATAACGCCAAACTTCTTTTCAAAGCTTGTCAAGCCTACGCTCCCTTCTCCGGGTGGAAGTTCTAATAAAGAGAACACCGCTTCACCGCGTCTTCACTCCAGCGATGAAGGCTCTGGTGAAGAGAGCGAGGCATCCGAGTCAGACGCCGGACTTGATATCAACGAGGACATTCAAGTTCCTATGACAGGTTTTGCCGTTGCCTCCTGGAAGCGTAATGCAGATTTCCATGAGCTGTTCCCTAGCATCCCCGAAGGCGACTATCTCATCGAAGGTTAGTCATTCTGTTGCACTGTCAACGTCTTCTTCATATTTTCTAGATTATGGGTGTGCGTTACAACGCGAGATCCTCGTCCAAGGCCGAATGTACATTTCGGAGAATTACATATGTTTCCACGCCAGCATTTTCGGCCGGACCACCAATGTACGATCAATGCGCTTCTTCATGTTCGCAGACTTATCAGTAGTACCTCCACAGTTGTCAATCCCAATATACGAAATAACCGCTGTCGAGAAGAAGAAAGGGATTTGTCACCCCCAAGGCCATTCAAATAACCACCCGACAGGCAAAATATGCGTTCGCCTCGTTCCACTCCCGGGATACGACATACAATGTTATTGTAGCTATCTGCGGAATCGCCGGTCCTGAGTTCATCAATAGTCACACCGGCCCGTCTGACCATATCATATCGCCCGCTAGTACTTCTGATGTATCAAGCCCCGTGGTCGCGAGCGAAGGCAAAGAAACGGCTTCTGTGACTGGTACCATAGACCCAACAACTATAACCCCCGTCGAGCTACTCAGCCCTCCCGTCAAACTCACCCCACCCATCCTCCCAGGGATCTCAGACGAAGAAGCCCGTAAAGCGCGCGAATACGAACGTAACAGAGGAGGACTCCAATGGGCGTATGATACGTTCGACGGGGCGTACGGCGTTGTGAGGCGGTCTATGTTCGGTGCACTAGGGCTTGTCAAGGAGGCTCGGCAACGTAGTTTGTCAATGACACGGTGTGACGCATTGCTTCGCAGCGATCAAGTAATTGAAGCGGTCGACTCTCACCAATACATAATGCGCACGATTGACGAGGACGTGAAGGACAGATACCTCGAATGGTCCACTGGTGAGTGCTTTAGGGTCTTAGATGACTGGAATATCGACGCTTACGAGTGGTTTTGTAGCCTTCACGAAAAACTGCATTACGCGCTGTGTCGCAAAGGGAGACGAGGCTATCGCTGCGAGCAATTATGAGGCAGCTATCGAACTATGTTCAGCAGGGCTTAGGCTGGACTCCTCATGCGAGTCCCTCTTTGCGCACCGCAGTAAGGCAAATTTGGCACGAAATCTCTATGCAGAGGCCCTTCTCGACGCGGACAAGGTGTGGGCGATATTCATTATGTCTCTAGCAGTCGTGCTTATACGACCGATTCATAGATCCTGGAAATAAATCCTTCTTTTTATCTTGGGTACGAAGTCAAGCGTGCAGCGCTTCATGGCGCACGACGTTATTATGAAGCCATCGAGGCCTTCAAAACTATGCTCTTGAAGGATGATGCGCCCGACGAATTGATACAAAGTAAGCCCAAACCACTCATGCGTCAGCCCGAGTATAATGAACACTTCCTGCAGAGCTGCGTCAGCAGTATGCTAGTCGATCTGAAGTAGAAGACACTATTCGACGAGCTGTGAACACCCACTTGGAAAACGCTCCGCTTCGTCTGCTCAATACGTCCACTGGGCGTTTATGCAATCGACAAGCACAGATATATGCCTTCATGGAAAGCATGGAGTACAAGGAGCTTTTTTCTTCATCAATGATGCGCGTGCCCCTCCAGACCGAAAGCGTCACAGAAGCGGTCGCAAAGTACTTCAGTTGGGTCATGTTATCGCATAGGTGGGAAGACGAGGAACCACTGCTGCACAACGTTCAGGACAAGGTCGTATACGAGTTGGACCCAGTTGGAACAGTGGTGAAGTTGCAAAAGTTCTGCGAACTTGCTCGTAATGCGGGGTATCGCTGGGCGTGGAGCGATACGTGCTGCATCGACCAGAATAACAACGTCGAGCTCCAACGATCAGTCAACTCCATGTTTGTCTGGTATCGCCGGTCAGCTCTTACGATCGTCTACCTATTGGATGTTCTGCCTTCAGCGAAGTTGGGCGCACTCGCAAACAGCGCTTGGAATACACGAGGATGGACTGTTCAAGAATTCCTGGCTCCTAACATTGTTCTATTCTACCAAAAAGATTGGACCTTGTATCTCAACGACCGCTCTCCCAATCATAAGGAGTCTGTCACTATCCTGAAGGAGTTGGAGGATTCGACAGGCATAAATGCGCAGGCGCTTGTCGCCTTCCGTCCGGGCATGACAGGCCCGCGCGAGAAGCTGCAATGGGCATCGACGCGCGTCACCACTTTACAGGAAGACATCGCATACTCATTATTTGGCATCTTCGGCATTCATTTACCTGTCATCTATGGCGAGACGAAACAAAACGCACTCGGGCGGCTCTTGCAGGAGATCGTGGCCCAGTCGGGTGACATCACTGCCCTGGACTGGGTCGGAAAATCATCCGAGTTCAATAGCTGTCTACCAGCTGATATTGCCTCGTATAAACCTCCGCCATGCACGCTGCCATTCCTATCTGAAGACCAGATACAGACATCAGTCTTGTCACTACAAAATGCCGCTATTGTGGAGCCGGCTTCCATGCTGTATAACCGGCTTAAGACCCTGAACACCCCTCGTTTCGCGAACCGCAGGTTGCAACTTCCTTGCATCGCATTTCCTATCACAGAAGTCAGACGGAGGCGTGGTGAAGGCCAGGAGACATGTTTCACTTATGAAGTCAAGGCAGATGGACTTCAAGACATGTTAATCATCACAGAAGATAGACTGATTCAGTTCTCGCGGGCAAGGTCTCCTGGGGAACCATTCTTGCTCGTCCGTCCGTGGAATCGTTATGACCTAGAGCTGCCTGATCTCGCGAACGATGCATGGAGCGTGGACAGTGGGTCCGAGCCGGAGTCTTCATCAGACAAATCGCTCGGTGAGGATCCTGGAGAAAATGAGCTTGTTGATTCGGAGTCTCACTCCCGAGCGTTGAGGTTGATCGTGCGCCTGGGACAGCCTTTTGGTGCACTTTTGCTTGCGCAGCAGCGTGGTGGGGAGTACAAGAGGATCGCTTCGGATCACACAATCATTGCGCAAGTTAGGGACATGACTGCTGTTCATGACAATGTCGGGACGCTTGAGATATTGTAGTTGTATGCATCTCGAAGAACGGAGATGACTGACACGTTATCATTGATAACTTGACAGTACTGTAACCTACTTACATGGAACACCCATGAATCACCTTAAGGTCGATTTCAGACGCAGAGGGAGGGAAATGACATTCAGGAGGGGGGGCGGGAAAAGGATGAATTGGACGGCAGGATCGAGTCGCGGGGAGTCCCAGTAATTAAGAAGTATGCACAAGCCGTCATGGCATGAAATTTGGATTACAGTTACACCTATTTGTTGTTTTGAGAAGATGAAAGTCATCCAATGCCAAGTCTCGGAGCGAACTGTGATCAACCGTGAACACACTAGCTGTAATCCGGAGAGTTTAGCTCAAGTTGACTGATGAGCTGGCTATTGCGAGAGAGATGCCAACAAATCCTTGTTTCTTGAGACGAACCTGTACCTGAATGGTTTAGGGTGCCTTTGGGTGTGTAAAAAATATGTTTAAGGGTCATAGACTGATGAGTTACCGGATGGGACCAACACTCTCGAATTCTGCAGGAGGTGTGAACTCTTCACCTTTCTCATCGAGCGGTCCGGCGATCGTGAACGCAGCAAGGGTACAAGAAATATTGAGGTATAACGACGCTTCGGCAAAATGGAATCCTGAAATAAAAGGCACTCATTCAATTACAGTCGGAGTTTCGACCGGGACAGTCTAAGTGTTATGCAAATGACACGTGCCAGGGCATGCACGACGCCCAAATCCAAAGACGAATTTGTGTGGATCCACTTGGGGAGAGGAGCCGAGGAAGCGCTCAGGTTTGAACTCCAATGGGTCGGGATACATGTCTTTATCGCGCGAGATCGAAAAGATATTTGCTATCACAATCGCACCCTTGAGTATTCGGTACCCTTCATAGACGTCTTCCTTCATCACGTGGTGCTGGAGCCCTGGGTTGCTGAGAGTGAGCGGGAACGAAACCACAAAAAATGATATGCCCAACCTTGCGGTACCACGGGTGCCCAGCGGAGGACCTCCTGGATGAGCGCTCCGATGTACGGAAGCTGTTCTCCATCCTCGAAAGTGGGAAATCTGTCTTGGCCCACGACAGCATCGATCTCTGCCTGAGCACGCTTCTGCGCCTCGGGATAGAGCATCATCGCTAGGGCAAAAGACGTGGCGGCTGCTAATGTCTGCTCATGCCATTGATTGTGTCAGGAAGTAGGAAGCAGAGAACTGGAGAATATACACCATAGCTTTCAGCCCACGTACCGTACTAGCATACATCTGCCAAGGCTCTTTCTTGGGAAATCCATTTCCAGTGAAGAACTTTGGACACGGCCCAGGCGGTAAAGGCAATCTACTGCGTCGGCGGCTGTAGAAGTAGCGCTAGCACCGATGCCCATTATATTTCATACTTATATAGAACATGAAAGTGAACTCAGGTAAACGTAAATTTTCTTGACGTAGAGGACTCAGGAGGGATCGACGATCACACAGTGTGTGCAAATTTACGGAATCGGAATGTCCAAGTTTGTAATGCATTCCAAATCGAGATTTAGATTGACGCCTCTTGAAGGTTTGCGACTAGGGCTCAGTGAAAAACTAGGCTCCAGGGAGGCTCCCGGTATATGTCATGTTTTAAACTCAAGGCTCGTGCTTGGAGGGTTTTTCACGCGAGTTTAAAACTCGACTTGGGCTTTTTTTGATAATGATCGATGATGATCGACCCGCTCTAATAATATGGTTTACTGACTCTCATAAGTACTGTTCCCGACGACCCTAACCAACCGTAACTCCCTCGGTTAGACCTTGTGCTTGAATCCAGAGACTCCATTGGCTTAATCTTTCCCGTCTGAGATTGGCTCAGTTGGTCCGTCGACATTACCGGCCGTAATTATGAGCATACCTTTGGCAAAAGCTGCGTTCTTAGGTTTGTTTCTCGGAACTTTGTTTTACGGTGCGTTACCCACTGGTAGAATATCTACGAGATCGAATTTCACCTATCACAAACAGGCGTGTTCCTCACTTTGTATTGGTTCATGCTATTCATCCTACTCAAGAAAACTGGCATTCAACGGCAAGTCCTTATCCCAGTGGCAACCTTGCTGCTCTGCATCGCAACGGCAGTGAGTGTAATCAACCCTCTTGGGGAATAGCTTAATACTGTCACTTTCAGCGTCTAATCGTCGATTTTGTTCGAGGGTTAGAGGCATTCGTATTCCAGGTGGATACGATTGGTGCAAATGCCTATTATTTCGACCTTGCTTCGCCGCTGAATCTCGCATCGATATCACTCTACATCACGCAAACCATTCTTGGTGATGGTGCACTTGTGAGGTTCTCCACCCGACATGGTCGCTCTCTTCTGAGTAGGGTATTAGATTTGGCGATGTTATATGCTCTACAGCAGAAGCCTCTTCATTGCCGTTCCTGGTTGTATTGTGCTGTTAGCCCTTGTGGGTGAGTATCTCGGGAGATATTATTTGATCATCGTCTTAACCCGCGAGAATTTGCAGCCATTGCGTACTATGTTATCTGGTCTATTTCTCACTTCGGTCCGCTGTTCACCGTTTCCACCACTGGTTCTGCGTGTATCACCGCAATCTATGTATTGACCATGTTTGTCAGTGTCACCTGTACCAGTACGTCTATTGCGCCTGATCTATAGGCTTCTGACGACCACTGTATTGCAGCTTTGATTGCCTGGCGCATCTATCGCACTGGATATTTCATGCCAGATGGTCTTGGTCCTTTTTTACCCGTTTTCATCGTCATCATTGAGAGCGGCGCTTTATATACCACGAGTGTCCTTGCACTCCTTGTAACATCCTTGGTCGGATCCAATGGCAAATTTGTCATGGTGTGTATTATCCCTCCTACTGTGGTGAGTTGGATTAGCTTGGACATAAACTGCTCATAAGAATTTTCTTCAGGGGATCACATTTTGCCTCATCATCCTGCAAGTGTATTTCCACGTAGGCTATAGCCCCCCCACCGAACAACCTACTGAAACAAGGAGCACTATGACCAACCTCTTTAGAGGGCCGGGTGTACTGGACGTGGGCTCCCTTGAACCAATGACTATGCAGATCACGGAGGAGATGGTGATCGGTCAGTCTGACTTGATGGGTAGAAAGAGTGACCAACGGGTCTAGGGGCATATCTTTCAATTGTAAATTAGTCACGTTCAATTCAATGTAGCCTTTCCATCTACGAGCAGCTAGCTCGCCGACCCTGTTTTCGGAGGACGAGACAGACCGTGACAATGGGTCAAACATTATCGTACCAGGCGCTATACCTCCCCATTTTTACACTATACACACACGATGGACTCGTTGAAGTTGTTTATCGCATTTTGGAACAGACACAGAAATGATTCCCTTCCATCCTGGACAGGTCGCAGCAGATGACTGACAGACTGAAGAAAGAAGAAGGTGATTGGGCCAGACTGGTGTGCTGAAGCTGTGTTATCTCTTCACGACCCGACTATCTGCAGGATGAATCATTGTCCGTATAAGTAGTAGTGATGCGTGCTCCGTCCATCCATGTAGCCTTCCTGAAGCTGGCTGATGTACCCGGATATATGCGCTGATCGAATAAAAGATACGGCACTCACACACTCTGGAGCCATACCGGTGACCACCGAAATCATCTCTTGCTCGAGATACTCTGCCTAACATACCAAGAGCATTGATCGATCAATACTAGTACTCGGTGGTGAACGTTAACATTAACCTCTGACGGAAGTGCTATGGATGAGGTGATCATATTTTATTCAAATAGACGCAGACGAAGCGAAATGACAACAGGAGACGAGACGAGATAAGGATGAATTGGGGGGTAGTATTGAGCCGCGGGAGTTCCACTAATCTAAGAAGCATGACTGCTGACGAGAAATACGACCGTCCATCACAGGCCGTCACGGTATGACAGGATTACAGTTACTAGTACAGCTGTTTTTTGTTTTGAGAAAATGAAAATCACCGAGCCATGCCAGTACCGCACTATGATCGATTGCGAACAGACCAGCTGTAATCCAGGGAGTTTAGTTCAAATCGACTGATGAGCTGGCTATTGCGAGAGAGATGCCAACAGATCCTCGTTTCTTGGGATGAACCTGCACATGAATGGCTTAGGGTGGCTTTGGGTGTGTAAGAATATGTTTCAGGGTCATAGACTGATGAGTTACCGAATTGGACCAACACTCTCGAACTCTGCAGGAGGGGTAATCTCTTCCCCTCTCTCATCGAGCGGTTTGGCGATCGTGAACGCAGCAAGGATACAAGAAATATTGAGGTATAACGACGCTTCTGCAAAATGAAATCCTGAAATAAAAGGCACTCATTCAATTACAATCGGAGTCTCGACTGGGACAACGTTATGCAAATGACACGCACCAGGGCATGCACGACGCCCAAACCCAAAGACGAATTTGTGTGGGTCCAACTGGGGAGAGGGACCGATGAACCGCTCGGGCCTGAACTCCAGTGGGTCGGGATACATGTCTTTATCGCGCGAGATCGAAAAGATGTTTGCTATCACGATCGCACCCTTGGGTATTCGGTACCCTTCATAGACATCTTCCTTCATTGCGTGGTGATGGAGCCCTGTGTTATTGAGGGTGAGCGGGAATGAAACTACAAAAAATGATATGCCTAACCTTGCGGTGCCACGGGTGCCCAGCGGAGGATCTCCTGGATGAGCGCTGCGATGTACGGAAGCTTTTCTCTATCCTCAAAAGTGGGAAATCTGTCTTGGCCCACGACGACATCGATCTCTGCCTGCGCATGCTTCTGCACCTCGGGATAGAGCATCATCGCTAGAACAAAAGACGTGGCGGCTGCTACTGTCTGCTCATGCCATTAATTGTTTCACGATTAATATGAGTGAAAGTGCAAATTTGAGAGATCTTACGGTGTCTACTCCCCCGCCATAGATTCCCTGGCTGCACCACTTGATGATTTCTTCTTGTTGGGCGCCGACCGTGGACCCATCCTCCGGAAGGAGCTGTTCTGAGACGAATGAAGGAGTATAGCTGCCCCTTTGCTAAGTGGCGATGACAATTGTTAGAGCTCCTGATAAAGGAAGTCACAATATTTCGTAGCGAAACTAACTATTTGCTGTTTGACCCAGTTAAATGGTATTGTGTCACTCCTACTGAGCTTCTTCCGGAGGTTGAAGGCCACGCGTTTGAAACCTGCGCCCGGGAACCATGATGGTACGAAACGTACTCATAGAAGGTTGACTTGCTTAGCTTTATGATAACCCGGAAAATGAAAGGGTGACCTACAGGATGGGATCACTTCGACCAACCAACGGCCAGGCTGGGACAGGATGGCAGACATGGCAAGGCCTTCTTGCACGATGCCAATGAGACAATCGTCATTCTTCGTGACCTTCCAGCCATATGCGAGATTAAGGACAACAGCTGCTGCGTTCCTGCACCTCCGATGAGAAGCGAGGAAACAAACACCAGCCACGAGAATATTTTACCTTTTGATGTGAGCGATAAATTGTTCAGGGTCCTTGTGCAGACCATCAAGCAGCACGCGAGATTCTTCGATTTGCAGCGACTGGTAGCTTTGTATATTGCGGGGACTCAGACTTGCTTTGAACATCCTGCGATAAGTCTTGAAATACGGGTGATTGAAAGATATGTTGAACGCGGTCAGCTTGCGCTTCGCAAGTTCTGTGTACATCCATAATCTTGGACGATCGGAATACGTAGTGGCACGTGAATCGAGCAATTCAGTCGCTGTTTTTAGAGAGCTGAGCACTATGAACTGCTGGCCAGGCACACGGAAGGAGAGGATGGGCCCTATTGTGAGGAGTAGGTCATGAAGTCTCCCAGGAAGTAGAGAATTGAAGAATATGCACCATAGCTTTCAGCCCACGTAGCATACATCCGCCAAGGCTCGAAGTTCTTGGACAGTTGATGCGCATTTCCAGTGAAGAACTTTGGACATGGCCCAGGTGGTAGTGGCAATCTACTGCGTTGACGGCTGTAGAAGTAAACTGCGAATGCAATGACAAAGAGAACGATTATGCCAAACGACATTGCACAGGTAACAGGTGGGTCGACTATCGAACCTGAGCGCTTGGGCTCTCTTCATTTTAAGTCATTATCCCTGAGCATGTGAATAGTACCTGCGACTTCAAACACTGCTTCACCTTAGCCGCACCGTGACCCCTCGGACATAGTAATCTCCCAAGCCAGACCTATAGAAGAAAGAAGACAGTCGTTCCTTCGCAGAACAAGATGATCATATGACTCGGACACTTTGACAGTCCGACTTAACTTGACTCCCGTGATGTTCATTACCGCGCAGGTAGATGGGGCACTGCGGGCGCATCATCGAAAAATAAGTCACCGGTAATAGCTGTTGATCAATACTAAGTACTAATCGTGTCGTGTCCAGACTCAAGTGAGTCAGCTCTGAATCAAGATTGAACAACCTGAACCTCTGGGCCGAGTAAGTACTACAACTTATAAGCACTGAGTAAGAAAATCGCATGGACGATCAACCTTTTATACTACCCTAATCATACTAGGCGTACTATGAGATATCATGACACTCATGTGACTTGACCCATAGACTCGGATATCCAGGTAGTGAACCTCTCGGGGGGGGGATGATGGTACTGTGAAGTGCTATGCAGATGAGTTGACCATTATAATTAATGGTGTTTTATTCGAACTGTCCAAGAAAGTGGACTGCTCCAACGAATTCGAAGGACACGTGGGAACAGCAGAATTTCTTACACGATCTGAATGCGAAGAAAATGCTGGAGTTGATGATGGGTTGATCGATGTCAACACTAATCGTGTAGTGTCCAAATCGTCCAAGTGAGTTCCTTGAGCAAACTTGAACACGACCGAGATTATAAGTACTATAAACACAGAGTTTGAAAATCGCATGGGGGTGAACCATGAAAGAGAGAGAAAGACGGCTCGTCAAGAAAAAAGCTCGGCTATATATAGGCATGCCTTCGATTGCCGTACCGTTCAGACCTGGCCAACAAACCATCCTCGAGGTTGCGTATGTAGATAGAAATCGTCCTCAAGTATTAATAGAGATGGATTGAGCAAAAGCTAGGATACAGATAACCATAATGAAATCTATGGCAGATCCTCCTACGCAACCGGCCCTCGATAAACGGTGCTTCTGGTTGGATCCTCACGTTGCGCACATCGGGAAATTGTGTGATACCTACGCGGACCTGACAGCCAACAACGTCGACCGAACCGATGCTCCCGTGGAAGAAAAGAGGTATGACCTGTTGAGCTTTCGTTATTCCAGAATGCAAGCGCTGAAGCCAGGTAGAGCGGTATACGAAGGAAATACAATATCTTAAGTGTTGTGTTGTCTATATAAGCAACTGAAAGCATACGTGAAACCAGGACATTCGTAAAGATGGACAGGACCGCATCGAGCACTGAGACCATCTCAATCAAGTTCACCAAAAGCCTGCGGGAAAGAAAGTGAGTGAGGCAAAGGCAAAGTAGACCGCGCACGTACGTGATAGAAAAGTAGACCAAGCAAATCTCCAAATGAGCTTGATGAGTTGGGAGAAACTGTTAGCCGAGAACGTGGGTTTCCAACCGGTCAAGCGACAGATGAAGTTACGTATCATAGAGTAGATGAAGCTGATGGCGTCCATGTAAGCAATGGTGCATGCTCCGTCCATCCATGTAGCCTTCATGAAGTTGGCAGCTGGTTGTTGTACCGCATATAGGCGCTGAACGAATAAAGCGAGGCGATCGAGGTGCGGCACTCACACATACTGGAGCCTTACCGGTAGCGACCGAAATCATCTCTTGTCCGAGATATTCTGGCGGGATGGTCCTGAACGCTGCATAAAATACGAAGAGCACTGTGAGTTATCATCTATGGGTGAGTTGATTATTACTAATGGCGTTTTATCGACAAAGTGGTCGACGAACCACTTTGTCAATCGGAAGCAAGCTGCTGGTGCAGATGAGTTGATCGATACTAATCGTGTTGTGTCCAAATCGTCAACTCATGAACTTGCGTGATTGGAACCCGACCGAGTAAGTATTATAAGTACAGAGTAAGAAAATCGCAAGGGGCCAGGTCATCATCACCGTTGGAGTGGGGCACCCCCCAGCGAGGGGGCGGAGAGGCAGGTGTTTGCCATGGTTTGCGTAGCTGAGTCAGCAGCATAGCGTTGTCGTAGAGTAGCTCATCATCATTGCCAGGCCTCCCCAGAGGCAGGCAGGCTCTTGGTCTGCACCGCTCCACCGTGAAAGACAAAGAGAGAAACGCTCAAAGGCTTGGGCCGCTTGGCAATATAAATTGCCTTTTTAGGTATTCCTCGATTGCTGTTTTTGACGACAGAAAAGTAACGAAACCCCCACAAACGACTCGAACTCGGAGGGACACGAAGATCTTGCATCGGGCTACCAGAATCAAAATTTTGGCAAAGAGGTACAAACTATGGTACAAAACCCACGTATACCTTAGTCTACCTATAAATAGGTAGCGCGGAGATTTCACATTCTACGCAACAGCTGTGATCAGAGCCCTCAGCCGCTGAGCTGCGGAGGCTCACCGCTCAGGTAGGCTCACCGCACTGCGCAGTAAGTCATTTCATTCTACATCACTACTGCGGTATAAATATACTGACAGTGATAAGATAGGCTTCATGGATCCAATAACAACACAGACACCATCATGAATGTCTTCGCATACTACTAGTACGCTTTGAGGGACACAGCTTCGCACAGCAACACATCTATGGTCTTCATCTTATTCACTTCCTGCGCTCAACCCCACCCAGAAACATCGTTGGCCTGTCTCCTGTGCGATTCTGGCTCAGTGGTCAAGTGACATAACCGACCATGAGCATATCTGTGGCCAAAGCTGCATTCTTAGGTTTGTTTTTTGAGACCTTATTGTACGGTGCGTTGCCCACTGGTAGAAGAGTGATGGTGCTGGATCTCACTATTTCAAATAGGCGTGTTCTTCACTTTGTACTGGTTAACATTGTTCGTCCTCTTTAAGAAAACTGGCATTCAACGGCGACTTCTTATCCCAGTGGCAACCTTACTGCTCTGCGTCGCAACGGCCGTAAGTGAAATCAATCCTCTTGGGGGAATAAGTTTAACACGATCACTTTCAGCATCTAATCATAGATTTTGTTCGAGGGTTAGAGGCATTCGTATTCCAGGTGGATACGATTGGTGCAAATGCCTATTATTCCGACATTGCTTCACCATTGAATCTTGCATTGATATCACTTTACGCCACGCAAACCATTCTTGCTGATGGTGTACTTGTGAGTTTCACCACCCGAGATGTTCGCTCTCCTCTAAGTAGGGTATTAGATCTGGCGAGTTTACGCGCTCAACAACAGAAGCCGCTTCATTGCCATTCCTGGTTGTATCGTGCTGTCAGCCACTGCGGGTGAGTATTCTGATAGGCGTTATTTGACCATCTCATCCCATGTCATTTTTCAGCCCTTGGGTACTATGTTGTTTGGCCCTTCTCTCGAACCAGTCTGCTGTCCAATATCTCCGCTGCTACTTCTGGGTGTATCGCCACTTTCTATACATTGACCATGTTTACCAGCGCCACCTGTACCAGTACGTCTGTTGCACCAGATCTGCAGGCACCTGATGACCAGAACAACGCAGCTTTGATTGCCTGGCGCATCTATCGCAATAGCCGTGTCATACCAGGAGGGCTTGGCACTTTTTTACCCGTCTTCATTGTCATCATTGAGAGCGGCCCTTTATATACCATGTGTGTCCTTGCACTCCTTTCAACATTCTTGATCGGATCCAATGGCCAATACATTATTTTGGGCGTTATCATTCCTACTGTGGTAAGCTGATTTGGCTTGGACATAAACGGCTCATAAGATTTTTCTTCAGGGAATCATATTCTGCCTCATTATCCTGCAAGTGCATTTCAACGTAGGCGGCAGGCCCCCCACCGAGCAACCTGCGCAAATGAGGAGCATTCGCTTTAGAGGGCGAGGTGTCCGAGACGTCGACTCCAGCAGGGAACCGATGACTATGCTCACCATGCAGGAGTCGGAGATCGTTCAATCTGACATAATGGGAAGAAAGAATGGCCAACCGCTCTCGGGGGGTTTCTTTCAATTGTAAATTGGTCATGTTCAATTCTATGCAACCTTTCCGTCTGCGTTCAGCTAGGTCGCCGATCCTGTTTTCGGAGGACGAGACAGACAATGGTCTCACTACATCGAACATTATTGTACCAGGCGCTATACGCCCCATCTTTATACTATATATTCATCATTGGGTCGCTGAAGTTATTTATTGCATTATCGCATTTTAGAACAGACACAAATGATGTCCTTCCATCCTGGACAGGTTGCAGGAGATGACTGACCGACTAAAGAAAGAAGAACATGATTTGGGCCAGACTGATGTGGATGCTTCAACTGAAGCTGTGTTACCTTTGACGGTCCGACTATCTGCAGGATGAATCACTGTCCGTGTAAGTAGTGACAGTGCATGCTCTGTCCATCCATGTAACCTTCCTGAAGTTAGCTGTTGTACCTACATATATGTGTTGATCTATGACATGAATAAAGCGAGGGGAGTCGGAGCCACACTGACAATTACATAGCGCCCAGGGTGCGGCACTCACTCTGGAGCCTTACCAGTGGCCACCGGAATCATCTCTTGCCTGACATATTCTGCTGGGATGGTCCTGAATGCTGCCTAAAATACCAAGAATACCATGGCTACTGAGATATCATAAGCTTGATCAACGTTGATGTAACTCGACCCATCTATCAGCTCAAATATCCGGGTAGTGAATGTTAATCTCTGATGATGGAAGTGCTATGGATGAGTTGATCAGTACTAATGGCGTTTTATTCGAATCGACCAAGTGATCAACACTTTGCTTTGTCAATCGGAAGCAAACTGCTAAACCAGATGAGTCGATAAATACTAATCGTGTCGTGTCCAAATCATCCAAGTGAGTTAACTGACGAGCTTGCACGATTTGAACCCGACCGAGTAAGTATCATCAATACAGAGTAGGAAAATCGCATGGGGACAGGTCATCATCACCGTGAAAGAAAAGTGGCCTCGATTCATTGAAGAGGAGTCGGTACCGTTCCGCAGCGCCCTAATTTCCTGTTCGCGTCGTCGAGAATCAAATTGCAAAGTCGATTCGTGGATTCGGGTAACCGATTTTGAGGTGGGCCTATACAGCTGGTAATTGTTTCAAGGCTTGTAAAGTCTACCCCCCCCATCTCCGAGCGCTGGGAGAGGGAACACCGCTTCACCGCGTCCTACTAGCGCACGTACACTCCCAATCAATATTACACCCTCCTTCGGCACGTACCGACGGCCTCACCCCTGACAACTCTAGCAGTGAATTGGCAGAAGCACGAAGAATTGCATGACACTACAATCAAACCGCAGAATATTCAAACGTGATCACGACATCGAGAAGCCCTGAGAAAGACTGAGCTTAAGCACCACAGGTCGAGCAAGTACAACCACCAGAAGTTGAGGCTTCATCGAGTTCGACCGTTTAGCACTACACAGCAGCAAGGTAAGAAACCACCGATTGAGGCGTACCAGTCTAAAGGCAGGACACGAACCGATAAGAAATTCTGACTTATTATGAGAGCGACTGCAGCAGACGCAGACGGAACGACATGACAACAGGAGGGGAGACCGGATAAGACGGCAGTGTCCAGTCGCAGGAGTCCCGGTAATTTAAGAAGTATGGCTGTTGACGAGAGAAACGACCGTCTATCACGGGCCGTCACGGCATGAAATTTGAATTACAGTTACAGCTGTTTGTTTTGAGAAGATGAAAATCACCGAGCCATGCCAGTACCGCACTATAATAAAGTGTGAACACACCACTATAATCAACGTGACTGATAAGCTGGCTATTGAGAGAGAGATGCCAACAGTTCCTTGTTTCTTGGGATGAACCTGCACTTGAATGGCTTAGGGTGCCTTTGGGTGTGTAAGAATATGTTTCAGGGTCATAGACTGATGAGGTACCGAATTGGACCAACACACTCGAACTCTGCAGGGGGTGTAATCTCTTCCCCTCTTTCATTGAGCAGTTTGGCGATCGTGAACGCAGCAAGGGTACAAGAAATATTGAGGTATAATGATGCTTCGGCAAAATGGACACCTGAAATAGAAGGCACTCGTTCAATTACAATCTGAGTTTCGACCGGGACAGTGTTATCCGAATGATACGCACCAGGGCATGCACGACGCCCGAACCCAAAGACGAATTTGTGCGGGTCCAATTGGGGAGAGGGTCCGAGGAAGCGTTCGGGCCTGAACTCCAATGGGTCGGGGTACGTCTCTTTATCGCGTGACATGGAAAAGATGTTTGCTATGACGATTGCACCCTTAGGAATTCGGTACCCTTTGTAGACGTCTTCCTTCATCGCGCGGTGGTGGAGCCCTGGGTCATTGAGAGTGAGCGGGAACGAAACTACAAAAAAAAAAATATGCCTAACCTCGTGGTGCCACGGGTGCCCAGCGGAGGATTTCTTGGATGAGCGCTGCGATGTACGGAAGCTTTTCTCTATCCTCGAAAGTGGGAAATCTGTCTTGGCCCACGACAGCATCGATCTCTGCCTGCGCATGCGTCTGCACCTCGGGATAGAGCATCATCGCTAGAACAAAAGACTTGGTGGCTGCTACTGTCTGTTCATGCCATTGATTGTTTCACAATGCATATGAGGGAAGGTGCAAAAAAAATCTTACGGTGTCTGCTCCCCCGGCATAGATCCCCTGGCTGCACCACTTGATGATTTCTTCTTGCTCGGCGCCGACCGTGGACCCATCCTCCGGAAGGAGCTGTTCTGAGACGAACGAAGGAGCATAGTTACCACTTTTCTAAGCGGCGATGACAATTATTAGAGCCTCTGATGAAGGAAGTAACAATATTGCGTAGCAAAGCTTACTATTTGCTGTTTCGTCCAGTCAAATGGTATTGTATCAATCCTACTTCGCTTTTGCCCGAGGTCGAAGGCCACGCGTTTAAAACCTGCGCCTGGGAACCATGATGGTACGAAACGTACTCATAGAAGGTTGGCTTGCTTAGCTTTATAATAACTCGGAAAATGAAAGGATGGCCTACAGGATGGTATCACTTCGACCAACCAACGGCCAGGCTGGGACAGTATGGCAGACATGGCAATTTTTTCTTGCACGATGCCAATGAGATAATCGTCATTCTTAGTGACCTTCCAGCCATATGCGAGATTAAGGACAACGGCCGCCGCGTTCCTGCACCTCCGATGAGAAGCGAAGAACACAAACCCAATCACGATTTTTTTTACCTTTTGATGTGCGCAAAAAATTGTTCGGGGTCCTTGTGCAGACCATCAAGCAACACTCGAGATTCTTCGATTTGTAGTGACTGGTAGCTTTGTATATTGCGGGGACTCAGACTTGCTTTGAACATCTTGCGATAAGTCTTGAAATACGGGTGATTGAAAGATATGCTGAACGCGCTCAGCTTGCGCATCGCAAGTTCTGTTTGCATCCATAATTTTGGACGATCGGAATACGTAGTGGCGCGTGAATCGAGCAATTCAGTCGCTGTTTTTAAGGAGCTGAGCACTATGAACTGCTGGCCAGGTACACGGAAGGAGAGGATGGGCCCTATGAGAAGTAGGTTAGCAAGTGTCCCAGAAAGTAGAGAACTGGAGACTATGCACCATAACTTTCCGCCCAAGTGGCGTACATCCGCCAAGGTTCCTGCTTGGGTAGTTGATGCGCATTTCCAGTGAAGAACTTTGGACGTGGCCCAGGTGGTAGTGGCAATCTACTGCATCGACGGCTGTAGAAGTAAACTGCGAATGCAGTGACAAAGAGGACGATTATACCAGACGACATTCAACAGATAACAGGTGGGGTCGACTACCGCCCATTCTGCGGCTCGAGCTCGCTTCTTTTAAATCATTACCCTGAGCATGCGATGACATCACCTTAGCCCCCTTGGCACCTGTGTGTCACCATTATTATTACTGATTAGTAACGTTTGTTACTAACTAGCGGGGGAAGTCTATGCTGCGGTACTTCAGCGAGTTCCGCAGCACTTGGCGGTCACTTAGGTAGGTAGAAAAGTAGATAGCGTACATTATAGGGATTGCAAACATGTCAAGCAATACAAAATAAATTTCACAGTACGGAGAACCAAATTATGTGGAAATTATTGATGTATTACTGTAACGACTGCGCTTAGCCGCACGTACCACGTCCCTTTGATATGTTTGTCTTTCTTTTGACATCTAACTTTACCCCTCGAATATGCGCTTATATTTGATATCTGCCTGTCATTGTGATACTGTTATATTTCTCTTATTTATTCAATATGGGTAACTTAGCTACTCCTTATCTCATTAGATTACTCCCTGTTTATGAGCTCGTTGTTGAGCTCGTTGTGCACAACGATGAGCGGAGCATTGGCGGCAACAGTGGTGGCGCGCTATTACCGAATATAGTGCTTGTGTCAGCTTTCCCGCGTGCTACCCAAGGCTAACAATACTTAATGTTCTAAGTGACCTTGATTTGCTGGTCTGGACCGCTGGACCTCACAAATAATGCTTTTTGGCTTAATATAAGGGTGAGCAGACGTCTTAGGTACCGCTTTACTATATTGGAAAGGTGGGAGTAATAGGTGGGGAAAAGTCCGGTTCGAACCGCGGTTCAGGACCGAACTTTTCCATCACTACCAAGGATGTTTTGTTCGAGATCGAGTGTATAGCAGGTCAGTCTGCGAAATGAGTTGAACGAGAATTCGCCATTGAGTCGTAGATCTGTAGTATCAGTGGTGTGATTCGCGGCTCGCGGACAACGAGGAGTACATATATTGATGCGTAGAAAGGAAGCAGTGGGATCATTATCGTCGGACGTACATGCAACAAAACCACTGCCACAATACATAGTTGCTTCGTATCTTTTTTTTTGAAAACCCAACCCATTTATCAAGTGTTCTCTTGGCCGCGCCTTCCGTAGACAGTGTTCACAGTATTCTAGCTATAAATTGCTCGGTATCCGATGAATGCCTTCAAGCCCGCTATTTCAGATGAAACTGTAAGACTTCGTTCTCCCCTGGGGTATACTCCTGGGGCAGCGGGGTTTTAGAAGCAAGCATCATGAGGTGGACGATATTGGTGGGGTCAAAGTTCTCCAAGTCTGCAAAGCACGATGCAGGGTCGGCCATCCCCTTATCTATGCCCTCGCTAAAGTCGAGAGACACTTTTCCAGGCTTTTTCGGCTCTACCGCAGGTGTGTAGACCGCAGCAACGCAGGTGAGAATCACCACGACCGCCAGAGGCACAAGGAGCAAAAGGGACGTTGACCGTTTGTACTCGTATCCCATTGACTGTACGTGAACTATTCCAGTGTACTGCATCATGGTGGTGTCGCTCATCTGCTGGAGCTCAAGTTGCCAGAACTGGATAATCAAACATGTAGTCGACTGTTGGACGACAAAAGTGGAAACTTGCCGTTCCAAGTAATTCGATAGCCCCTCTCAGGTAGTTTTCCTACTTCGTGTCAGCGATGACAGTTCCTACACTGATGTATGCCAAAACACTTACCAACGTGAAGTTCAATAAAGCACTGTCCGGTATGGCCATCTGAATACCAGCTGCCATGGAATTTCCAGAAATACTCTGCGTATCAAACGTCATCAACCAGATGAGGTCTGAAATTTGGTCTATAAAGACGGCTTGTTGGCCTTCTGGGTCCAACGGCTCAAAATTCGTGGTTTCGTTGATGTTCACGGTAGTCCCATCAAAGTCGACCTTAACGGATGTAATACGAGGAGAAACTTCACAAATCGTGGGTGTGATGAAGGAGTACCAAGGTTCAAAGCCTTGCATAAGAACAACTACTCAAATTCCATGATCAGAGTTTCGACCACATGGTTCCAAATGACGATTACTCACGGAAAGACTGGTTTGTCGCTTTCTCGAAGTCCTGGTATTTGCAGATTGAGCCAATTAAGACACCGTCGCCCAGAGCCGAACCAGTTAGATTAACCATTGCCAGGATATCGATGGTGTCTGCTGGAGAATTGACAACAAATTTCACTTGCGGTGAGTCCACTCACAAGCAACTGAATCGCTTGAACAATTTGTGATCGTCAACCATCTCTGTATAGCATAGTCCACTGTGACGCCCACATTGGGCCCATCGATCGATGTTCCCAATGATGCACTGCTATATAAATCCACAGATGGATACACATCGGTTGCATTGATGAATGACTGCTGTCGACAGTGGACTTCCGCACTAAGGCCTTGTTGGAACGTTGTATAGCTTTGAGTCCATCCTGCATATTCGGATGGGATGCTTAAACTGGCATCTTGCGTCATTGCCGAGTGATTTATGAATACACCCCCTGAGCCTCGTGTCACACAGTAGCCATACGCATACAAGATGATCACCTACCTGTTGAACCATTATACAATGCATCCAGCAAGGGGATGTAGTACGGTGAGCCAAACTCATTCACGACTGCCGCAGTTCCGGCTTGAGTATACTGAGACACCTGCTGAAGACCGTAACCCTGCAGGCCTGCAAGTACAAATGTTGTTTAATTTTATTGTGACTGCTGAGTGAAGAGAGATATCACCTCTTGTTGCGTTCATGTAGGTAACAAGTGGTGAACTCCCGCTAGGATATGGAGCAACATACCCGCCCCAATTAGCTTGAAGTGGTGCGGCGGCAGCGGAGTAGTTCATTTGTGTACCCGTGAAATAAAACTCGAGATCCACAGACGTCGGGGTCAAAAAACTAACCCAACTACCAGGATTGCAGATTAGTAATGAGAAGTATACGAAAACCTATCATGAATTACCTTGACGTGAGCGGTCCACATAACATAGCGTACATCAATGTATAGTTCAGCCAGGTCCAGTACTGCCTGTCGCCGAGTGCGATATCCTTTCTTCCATCGCGCATGCATGTGTAAGTTAGCTACGACGTGCGTAGCTAGAGGCGATGCGAGTGCGAAGGGGGTAGATAGACCGCTGAAGGAATGATAATGATTAGTGTTAGCTTCAAATGACGGATGACGGATGCGAGAGATATCGTGAATCGGTAAACGAGAGTGACCGCGTTATAGCGATGATAAGAGAAGGTAATGAGACGGGTTCTTCGGGGCGTTCTTCTGGGGGATCTACTGTTCTATTCTGCTGCTTATTAGGAATGTACATGGGCTACTTATACTGTAGGATGAGGAAGGGTCGTCCTAGAATAGTTAAAGGCAAGGGCTCGGTGTACGGTCGGTGAAAGCGGTAGCTGAAGGGAGTGGCGTTTGTATTTGATAGTGTAGCGAGAGAATGATATAAGAGTTGTTGACAAGGTGAAGACGGCGGTATTACGAATGGAGGAACAGTAACGACAGGAAGGGTTTAGCGAGCGATAGGAATTGAAAGGATAGGTACTAATAAAAGGGGTCGGGTATCGTGCTTGACAAACGGTCCAGGCGTTGACGTGGTGGTTGCGGTGAGAGGAGTATCGGCATGTTCCGGCGATAAACGTTTGGTAATTCTTACACCTCCCTCCAAGTACGAATATCAACCGTCCTCGGTTGATCCATAGGACCAACTAAGCATCAAACGACTCGGGAAGGCCTGCGATCGCGTCCGTGTCAATGAATTGTGTGACTTCGAGCGTGACTGGAGAGCGCGCGTGATAAGGAATGATGCGGAATGCGGTGAACTTAAGTTTGGACACTGATCCGTCAACTTCGGCGAGGTAGTAGGCTCCGTTTGAGGTACGCGCGACAACGACCATGGGACCGAAATAACGAGGCTTGCACTTGGCGTTTGAGGACGGTTCGATTTTCTTGTTGAGTACCAAGACGAGGTCGCCGGGTTTGAATGTCCGGTCTGCGATGGTGTTTGCGAAACGGCGCTTGAAGTCTTTGACAGACGCGTAGCGGCTTGCGAGAATGCGCTCGTGGATACATGCAAGGTCGTCGTCGCGTTTAGCGAGCTGGCGGGCACGTAGGGAGATGAGCTCGTCTGTGGTAAGGATAGAACCGAAGTCCGGCAGAAGAAAGGTTGCTTCGATGATATCGAGCGGAAGGAGGGGTTCGACGCCGTGTGCCATGTAAAACGGTGTGTGTCCCGTTGATTTACGAGTCGTGACGCGGTCGGCCCAAAAGACGTGCGGGGCTAAAACTGGCCATTGTGTGATGTCGCCGTTACATGCTTTGATGAGCGAGTCGCGAATTGTGCGGTGCGAACGTTCGACGATACCATTGGCTTTTGAGTTGTAGGCCGAAATGCGAATGTGATGGATGTGGTATGTAGACGCGAGCCAGTCTAGCGCGGCAACGAACGGCGTGCCATTGTCCGTGACAATTTCCTCCACTCCGCCCCAACGACACAGCAATTCTTCAAAAATAAATGCACCGAGTGTGCGACCAGTCTCTTTTCGTAGCATGCGCCACTCAGGCCATGCGGTGAGCGAACAGCGAGCTTGAACAATGTATGAAAATCCATGAGATGTCGGCATATACATGGAGTCGGTGTAAGCTTTTCGAAAGAGTGGCGCGGGAACAGCGACTGTTGGCGGAAGAATGACTTTTTCAACAGAGCGAAGCTGACATTGATGACATGTTTTGAGGTACCATGCGAGGTCACGATCGAGGGATGGCCACCAAAAACGGTCAGCAATGGTGCGTCGTGTGGAATAAATTCCCTTATGCCCAAGATTGTCGTGGGTTTCCTGGAGAATTCGAGCACGATCGAGCTGAAAAATAACAAGCTGATGACGACCTGTGGGATTACGACGCCAAAGTCGTTTATTATGAACAAAAAATTGTGCCGCTCGCTTAAGGAAGCGAGTGCGGTCAGAGCGCTGCATACCCGAAGGCAGTGCGAGCGTCTCAAGATAGCACTGGATGACCCGAAGATCATTGTCATGCTTCTGCGAAGCCTCATCACTTGGGATCGTGATTGCTAGGTCAGTACTCAGACTGGTTTCCATAGATGCAAAAACCTGTGTCTTCGTCATCATTCCCTGTCGTCCGTTGTGCGAGTCTATTGCAGCCCATAAACCACATCCGAGAACTTCATCTATCCAATCCTCTACATCCTGCGAGTCTTCTTCGTCGTCTTCATCGTCTTCTGGTGCGCGGCGACGCCGTGATAAGCCATCAGGGCCAATGTGCCTGGATCCCGGAATGTGTTTGAGTGTGAAGTCGAAGAGTAAAATTCCCGCGATCCACCGGTTGATGGCAGCATTCGGCTGAATATCTGGGTTGTTCAGCATGCCCTTAATATACTTCGCGTCCACTTCTACTGTGAGATTCTTGACACCTATTGTCCAAACTTTCGTTGCCTTGAGCGCGCGAAAAAGACCGTAGAGTTCGATCTTGGCCTGTGAGTAACGAGATTCACGTTCGTTCCAGGTAATGGAGCCGAAACGAGAGGGCCGTCGCTGCAAGTTGTCATCTAACTGAAGTAGAATCCATCCACAGGCAATATATGATGAGTCGACGGCAAGAATGACTGGATTAGAGGATTTGTAGTCAATAGGGCAAATAGCGGGGGATTGAATTACAGCTTGTTTGAGGGTGTCCATGGCTGTTTGTGCGCATTCGTCCCAAATGAAAGGTACAGCATTGCGGGTGAGATTGGTAAGTGGTCGTGCAATGAGGGCATAATCCTTGATCCAGTTGCGAATAGTGCCTGCTATGCCGAGAAATCCTCGGACTTCGGTGCGTGAAGTGCAGGGTGACCATTTCTTGATTTTCGCAACTTTAGACTCATCAGGGATACGTCCCTTATAAGTGCACCGCTGACCAACTACTATTACCTCCGGTACGCAAATAAAAAGCTTCTTAGCTGATACCGTGGCTCCAGCATGCTTGAGTCGGTGTAGAACTCGGTTGACATCTAAGCAGTGCTCCCAGACGAAGCATCGAATACCGGGATTTTCGGGGATTGTTTCGAACATGCTATCCAAGAGCTCGTACCGTGTGCTTGGTCCAAGAACGTTGACGTCATCTTGAAAATTTGGTGCGATCTCGATCTCGTGCTGCAAAATGAAAGCAACATCATTCTGGAAGACGGCAGGTGAATCTGTCCAACCCATGGGTAGAGCAGTGAGACGAAAGGTGCCGAGAGGTGTTTGGAAGGTTGTAAGATCACGTGATTCTTCGGCAAGTGCACGATGATCGAAACCGACAAATAAATCCATCATCGTATAAATAGATCGTCCAGCTGACTGCTCTGCAAATAGCTCAACATACGGAAGAGTAGCAGCGTCTTTGACAGTGACTGCGTTAAGGGGCTGGAGGTTGTGGACAATGCGAATGGAGCCATTTTTCTTTGCAACACAGAACCAGCTAGATTGATAGGAGCTGTTCGATGGTTCATAAATCCCTGACGCGATTTTTGACTTAATGAGGGAAATGACCTCATCGCGGATTCCCGGTGGGATGGGTGGCTGACGATGTACCCATGGAGTGTGCTCTATGGTCGGAATGATAACCGGTGGGAAATAGTCATCCCGAAATCGGCCTTTCTCCGTCTCGTCCCATGCTAGTGCTAACTCGTTGAGAGATAAGACATGTGCAGCTAACTTTTGCTCGTCGGGCCATAGAAAGCTGTTCTTGAATATTCCAAGGTCGTTCATGCGTTCCTCGGTGAGACGGGTGCCTGGAATAAAGTCTGAGGGAGTCGGAGAGACCGTGGGAAGGGATAGGAGTGGGTCTTCGGGAAGACGACGGATAATACGAGCATGGGCTGGCATGGTAGTTGCGACTGGCTTGATTCGATTAGCAACCTTCTTATATGCGAAAACGTGTCGGAGTGGATCATAGTCGAATGCATCTTGCAACAGGTGCTCCGAGAGAGAGGTGGCAGTGAGACGTGAGACAGCGATGGGTGATGATGAAGGAGTTGAGGCTGTAGCATGGAAGGTGGATGTTGCGAGCATGAACGAGCCTGGACGGGGTGGGAGACGAGGTGATGTAGCGCAGGTCCGAACACGTGTGATGTCAGTGGGGTCGTGGATAGTTACATAGACCATTTCTGCTGTTTCGGACTTTGATAACTTTACGAGTCGCTGCCAAGGACATCCTAGAAGCAAGCGATAAGGTGCGTCCGCAATAACAGTAGGCATGTGCCCAGGTTTTAATGCCATCTACATTGATCTCGAGCATTTCAATACAACCAGCCATATCCTGCGAACTGCCGTTAGCCGTCTGCATACGCATACGAATGTCTTTATTGATTGGGGCTCAAATCTTCTTCCAGACATCTTCGTGAATGACGACAAGCTCTGACCCTTCATCTAATAATCCCATCTCCGTGTGAATGCTGTTTAGCATGACCATGAGCTCGCAAAGGGGGGTAGCATGTTCGACTAGGGGTGGCGGTGCGGAAACGACAGCCGAGAGTGCGTTTGTGGATACTGCTGATGGTGTAGTGATCCGATGGGTGTGGCAGTGTTCTACAGCTTCGCGGCGAAGGTCTGGGCTGATTGCGAGAAGGTCAGAGATTGTGACATTGGGGACAGCCATGCTGAGCATGTTCTGATAGATATGAGATGCTGCGTCTGGGGTAGCTGCCTTGGATTCATAGGTGAAAGCTGGAGCCTTCTTAGCATAGGCATTGGAGGGCGGAGGTTCGGCGGAACAACTCTGGCTTTGTGCACGGGGTAACTTGGTGACATCAGACTTGATGGATGGTTCTGGGGTTGATCCGATTTTATCCAATGCTGCAGACTTGGCCTTGGAACGTGTGATAGCTAGTGTTTCAACTCTGGATTCTTCGTCTTCGATCGTCGTGACCGTAGCATGGTTCTCGGCTATCCGCGTGCATTGAAGAAAGTAAGACTCTGAAATGAATGTGCTGGAGGGAATGGAAGGTGTGGATGGCATGTGAGGAGGTGCTTCGCGTTCGAAGGGCTTGTGATTCACTGGAGCAGGTGGAGCTGGAGTC